AACTAATTTACTAGAAGTGGTAAAGAACTGTGAGATTATACAGTATAAAAGGAGTCAAGGGCAGTGAATCAAACAAACAGAAACAGAAAAATCTCTGAGCCATTCTGCACTGTCAGCTGACCAGGTGGAAAAGGAAGTCCTCAAATCACATCACATCACTTTTTTTTTTTATTCATGTCATAGAATCATAGAATTACCAAAGTTAGAAATGACCTTCAAGATCATCCAGTCCAACTGTCTGCCTATCACCAGTAGCTCTCACTAAACCACAACACAACATCTAAACATTCCCCGAACACCTCCAGGGTTGGAGTCTCCTCCCCCTCCCTGGGCAGCCCATTCCAGCACCTGACCATTCTTTTGGAAAAGTAGTATTTCCCAACGTCCAGACTAAAGCTCCTCTGGCACAATTTGAGGCCATTTCTTCTTGTCCTGTTACACGAGAGAAGGGGCCGATCCGCTGCTCACTACAACCTCCCTTCAGGTAGTTATAGAGAGCAATAACATCTCCCCTGAGCCTCCTCTTCTCCTGACTGAACAATCCCAGCTTCTTCAGCCACTCCCAATCAGACTTGCACTCCAGACCCCTCACCAGTTTCGTTGCCCTTCTGTGGACACGCTCCAGGGCCTCGATGACTTTCTTGTAGTGAGGGACCCAAAACTGAACCCAGCACTTGAGGTGCAGCCTCACCAGAGCTGAGTACAGAGGGATGATCACTCCCTGCTCCTGCTGGCTGCATTATTTCTGACAAAAGCCATTGGCCTCCTTTGCCACCTGGGCACACTGCTGGCTCATGTTCAACCAACACTCACAGGTCCTTTTCCTCCACACAGTCTTCCAGCCACTGTCGCATTGCCTGGGGTTGTTGTGGCCAAGTGCAGGACCAGCCCTTGGTCTTGTTCAACTTCATCCCACTGGTCTGAGCCCAGCAATCAGCCTGTCCAAATCACTCTGTAGGTCCTTCCTACCCCCAGGCAGAATGATGCTTCCTGCCAACTCGGTGTCATCTGCAGATTACTGAGGGTGCACTCAATGCCCTCATCCAGGTCATCAGTAAAGATATTGAAAAGTATAACATATATACATATGTATGTATATATTCATAATACCCTAGAAGGGGTGGGAGTGTTGCAGAGTTTAGGAGTGAGTGCAAGAGTTAGCAGTCAACTCAAATTCCAGCAAAGCTTCAACAAATTTAAATTAATGGAGAAAAAATAAGATGACCATCAGAGGAAGTTTCTCAGAGAGAGAGAGACTCTTTTGAGTAGAAATCAGATTTTTTTATATACCATAGAGTCTTAAGAAGCATAGGACACAACTGGATAATGCAACCACTTCAAATAACATACAATGGACACCATTAATATCCATCTTCCTTCTGAGACAAACAAGAGATGATGGTTTTTCTTATATTCTCTTCAATATTTTTTTCCCCAGGCCATTTCCACTTCCTGAGATGATAATTTTTTTTTCAATTTTTTGTTTTATCCTCGTCAGTGGTACATGCCTGCCATCCTATTTCTTTCCCAAGCACAATTCAAACCAAACCCAGATCCCATTTTTGTCAGTCAACACCAGAAAATAGTGATTTACAGAATTAGTAGATGTGCCATGCACTTCCCTGAAAAGGAGGAGGGAAAGCTGCTTCATGCATATAAAGGAAGATCTTCCCCAGGCTCTCTTGGGCAGCTGGCCTTCACTGCTGCTGAGTCCCAGAGCCACACAGCACTGCCTGCTGCAGACAGTAATAAAAGCGTCACTGTAAGTGCTGTTGGGGAATGGGGATGTGGGATGTAGTCAGTCCAAAACATTTTGCTTCTGTCTCTCCTTCATCCTCAGACTCTTCCTCTGCTTCAGCACAAGGTCCCTTCCATGGGATGCAGTCCTTCACAAAACAGGATTCCCACAGTTCAAATCACCATCTCCATGTCCATACAATGGGGTGCAAACAGTGCAAACCAGTGGTGTGTCCTTTTTCAAGCTGGCTGGAATGGCCTCCTATCTAACAAGGGGTAGCTTTTGAGCTCAGCTCACAGGTGCCTCCCCTGCTATGACCTCCTACCAAAACCTTGCTATATGAAACCAATACAGATGCAAAGGATGCATCCAACATAATGAGGCCCATCTCCAAGCCATGCTAATTTGGGGTGCACTGTGCTGCATAGCACGACAATGTGAGCATACCCCACTGTCAGAAATCATAGAATCATAGAATGTCCTGAGTTGGAGGGATTCACAAGGATCACTGAGCTGAACACTTGAGTTCACACAGGTCCATTGAAGAATTAAACTGTGTATCTAAAAGCACAGCCCAACAGTTTCTTGAACATTGACAGGCTTGGGACCATGGCTGACCACCTTTCAGTGAGACTTTTGTTTTTTCCGAGTATCCAATCTGAGTTTCTAATGATACAGCTTTAAATCATTCCTTTGCAATTTATCACTGGCTGCCAGAGAGCAGAGACAGTCATCCCCCTCTCTGCTCATCCTCAGAAGGATGTTTTATATAGCAGTGAGGCCATCCTCCAGTAGCCTCACTGCCAGGGTCCCTGCCATGTACACACAGCCCTTCACAGAACTGAAAACAGGTCCCAGCCTAATGCACTTTCAGACAGTCCTGTGATTTAATATACAAGAAAAGTAAAAAAAAATCTTAATAAATAAATACATACATATGTATCAAAATATCAAAGTCATGTAAGTAATGACAGATAAAGATTCTTACAGTATTATTTACCACCCAAGCTGATGGAAATACAATCTTGCTCATTTAGCCTCATTTGCTTTATTCCCAAGTTTGTGAATAAGCAGCACAATGGCTGCTTATTAATTATTCCACCTCACAGAGTCAGTAGATCTCCCCGGAAACAGCAGCCCTTTTTTCCACTACATGTATATAAAAAAAAGTATGTTTTTCCATTGCTAAGGATTTGTCTCTTCTTCATTTGGGGCTGGGAGCGGGTTTTGTGTTAAGCAAAGATCCTGACAGACCTCTAAAATGGAGACCCCAAAGGCAAGTTCACTCACAGGCACAGGCCAGTGGTGAGCCAAACAGGTTCATGGTGCACTCTGTGATGTATTGGCTGAATGGTTGGACTCCAAGGGTTGTAGTGCACAGGGCTACATCTGGCTGGGGACATTTCACAAGCAATGTTCCTTATCGGGCACTTAGACCTTTGGGAGAATTGTCTGTAACAGCACATGACGTGATCCATAGGAGAAATCAAAGTGTACAGCTGATGCATGGGGAGCTTTTGACCCCGGATACTGAGCATCAGCTGAAACTGCCTGCTCAAGACAGCACGGAAAACAGAAGTATCAAAGTAGGGACACAAAGTTCCAGACCGCTGGTGACAAGGGGGACGTGGCAAGCACCCACATCCAGGTCCTCAGCACTGCTTGGACGGGACTGAACCACAGGCAGTTATTCAGTGATGTTCAGAATCTTCCCGTTTCCCTCTGAGCATGCGTGAGATAATGAATGCAGAATAAGCACAGATGGGCGGGGAGAGGGGGGGAAAGAGGAGATCTGTGAGAGAGGGAGGAGAGCGGAGAAAATGTAAAGGATGCGTGGAGGGGAGAGGAATGAACCTAAGGGCACACAGCAGAATAAAGCCGATCTGAACCCACTACCACACTCAAATCCTCCAATCCTGTTCCCAGATACCCCCATTCACACTCACGCATCCCCTTTCTCGCACCTGGAAGCGCTCCTTCCACACACACTTAAATGGAGCAAGCGTGCCACGCACCCAAACGCCGCCTCGCATTTCCAAAAGCCGCTGCAGCACCTCCCTCGCACACCGCGCCGTTCCCCATCACCCCCACCCGCATTCGCCCTTCCCACGTCCAAACGTCCCCGCCCGCAGCCGGGCATCGCCGCCGCCTGTCCCGCCCCGCCGCCTCATCCCTACGCTCGGGCTCCCTCTGCGGCCGACCGCGTCCCCGCGCCCGCCCCCGCCGCAACTGCCGCTCGGGCCGCACCTACGGGAGCGGCAGCCCGGGGCGGCAGCCGGGGCCATGCTGGGCAAGGACTACATGCTGGCCATCATCCTCGTCAACTGCGACGGTCAGCCGCGCGGGGGGCGGCCGGGGGGAGCCAAGGGGAGCGGGGGGGGGGCGGGGCGCGCGGGGCCGAGGGCGGCGGCCGCTGTCCACGGTGCTGAACTCGCGGCGCTCGGCCCGGGCGGGGGGGCGCGGCCCGGAGGCCTCTTCCTGTGCGGGCGGGGGGGGCGGCGGCATCTCCTTCTCCCAAGGGCGGCTGGGGAGCTTCGCGCTCCGAACGGCGCGGGGAGCTGCGGAACCCCCCGCCCTTCGCCCCCCTCCCCCCGACGCGGTGTAGGGGCCGCAGAGACGGGCTGGGCCCCGGCGAGGCGCGTGCGGAGGAACGGCGCGTCGGAGCGCTGCCGAACCGAGCTCAGACAGGGGGTGCTGAGGAACCCCGATAGCGGACGGGGACGGGGTCCCGCACTGGGAGCGTTCGCGGTCCAGCGGGAGGCTCGGCCTGGCAATGGCAGCCGGAGCGCTGTCACTGGCGGATGGCGTGACGCCCGTCCTTCCTGGCGGCACCGCTCCGGGGGACAAGCAGCGCAGGGGGCACGATGACCTCTGTATTTTTAGCCGCAGACCCAGGAGCAGATCCCGTTACTTATCCGCACCGCGAGCTTGTTCTCTCGATCTCTCCCGGGCTTGCAGGAGGGGGCCGTTGCCCTTCCCTGGGAGGAAGCCAGTCCTGGCATACTGCACTGCTGGCAGAGAGCTAGGAGCTGCGCGATGCTGGGAATGTCCCTGGGCCATGCCTGGGCACCCCAGCTCGGTGCCTCCCTGGCGGGGCCATCTCACCTCTCAGGCTGAGTTGCCAGTGAGGCAACTGCCTGTACCGACCATGGTGCAGGGGTCTGCTGCTGCCACTCTGGCATCTCTGCAAATCATCCTGCTCAGCACTCCCCTGTTCCATGCTGGAGCACCAGGTCGCACAGAGGCCACTGTGTAACCCTTTTCCCACCAGTTTATTGCTTACTGCTGCCTGCAGCTGGGAGCAGCTGTGGGAGCTTTCCCTCTTGCCTCACCCTGTCTCTGCATAGACAACCTCTGGAGTGACCAGAGCCTGGAGACGGACCCTGACCTTCCTCCCGGCTGGAGAAAAATCCATGACTCTCTGGGCACCTACTACTGGCACGTGCCCACGGGCACAACACAGTGGCAGCACCCTGCTCGCTCTAGCAACCCAGGAGGATGCCTGGAGGCTGATGGAGAGGAGACGCTCCAGGAAACGGTATAGGACATGGACAGGGAAGGAAGGGCTGGTGCTGGATCCCAACAGCCAGTGTGCAGACACAGAAGTCTCTGGGTACTTTGTGCAGCCTCCCACGGTAGCAGGACCACCCCAAAGTCCTGCTCAGTCCATTCCTAGCCAGGGTTAAGTCCTTTGAAGGATTTCAGGAAGCCCCATAGTGTCCCCACCCCAGCCATTCTGCCAGGCTGTCCATGAGCTGAGATTGCTGTCCCAGAAGGGAGGCCGCCTACGGGTGCCTCTGCAGGTATATGCTCTCCTGACAACCCCTCTTCTCTCTCAGGACTGCCAGGCCTCTGTGGTGAAGCACACATCAAAAGCCAGGCCTGTTCCCAGCCCCATGGCCTCACTGACCAGGAGGTAAGGTTGCCCCTGTGCTCTGCTGGCTTGTGGCTAGGGAAACTCAGGGTCCCACCTACTGAGGCCAGAAGTTTGAGCTGACACCATGGTGGGATGCTGCCCAGACAGCAGTGCGGGGGTGTTCCGCTGCTCCTTGGGGCAGTCAGGCTCAGAAATGCTGAGCAGAAGCTTACCCCTCCCCACTTTATCCCATCTCTTCACAGGACCTCGCTGACATGGCACGGAGATGACCTCCAGCAGTGTGGTGCAGAGCCCAGCTCCAAGGTAATGCATCAAGGCACTTCCCTGCACACGCGCAGCCTGAGGGCTCCCTGCACTGCCACGTACCGGCTACCAGGAATGGCACAGGAGGGAGGTGGCAGTAGCTGACAGGCACCAGGGCGGGAGCAGGGCTGGCCATATAGGCACAGAGAGAGGTACAGGATAGGGCTATGCCAGCCCGGCAGGGAGGCCCACCATCTCTCTGCTCAGTGCTTTGCTGTGCGTTCACTGGGCTGGGTGGAGATCCCCGAGGAGGACCTAGCGCCTGGCAAGAGCAGCATTGCCGTCAACAACTGCATCCAGCAGCTCTCCAACAGCCAGGGCCGAGGCTCTGCAGACAGCTGGGGAGAGGTGAGCTGCACGGAGGTCCTGCCGCTGCGCTCCACGGAGTGCAGTGCTGCGGGACGGGGCTGTTCCCACCCTCGGTGTAGTTCTGGGCCGGGCACGGGGCAGTAGTTCTGGGACACGGGACGTGTGCGTCTGGGCTGCTACCAGGTAAGGGTGCCCCCGGCTCCCCGCAGGGCCAGGACCTGGTGATGATCCTGAAGAAGGACACCATGAGCCTGGTGGACCCTCTGGACCACAGTCTCATCCACTGCCAGCCCATCCTCAACATCCGCGTCTGGGGCGTCGGCTGCAACAAGGGCAGGTGCCGGGCGCGGGGCGGGGCCGTGGGTGCGCCGCAGCTCCGCCGCTCGGCCCCGGAGGGTCCAGGCACGAACTGACCGCCCCACTCTTCCCCCCACCGCCACGCCGTGCACAGGGACAGGTAATGGCAGGTAAAGCTGTGCGGGGCCGAACGGAGCGCCGTCTCTGCCGGGGCTAAGCTCAGTCCTTCGCGGCCTCGCAGGGACTTCGCCTTCGTGGCGAGCGACAAGGACACCTGCGTGCTCAAGTGCCACGTCTTCCGCTGCAACGTGCCCGCCAAGGGCATCGCCAAGGCGCTGCACAGGATGTGCTCCCAGGTGCGCAACGCGGATCTCTCTCGTCGGGCTGCCCCGGGAGCGCCGGGCCCCGCACGAACCGCATCGCCATCCTCGGCAGATCGTGGCGGAGCGCGCAGCAGCGGGCAGCGGGCTTTCACCGCGCAGCGCCAAGCTGGAGCCCATCTCCGCGGCCACGTGGCCCCAGCGTACAGGTACCGCACGCGCCCCGGGGGGATTCGGGGACCGGGCTGGGGCGGGGGTCCCGCTCACCGCTCGTGTCCCGGCAGCGGACGTCCAGGACGCCGTAGGGAGGCCGCCTCGGCACTACGAGGCGTTGTATATCGGCAGCCGGCCCGTGCCCAGGGCAATGGGTAAGGCCGCCCCGCCGCAGCCCCGCCGCAGCCCCGCAGCGGGCGGGGAGCACCGCGCGCCTCTCCCCGCAGGGATGGACGTGCTGAACGCCGCCATCGAGCAGCTGCTGGCGGGCCCCGGGCGGCACAGCTGGACGCCCGCCCACGTCTACGTGTCCGACACGGCCGTGCGGGTGCGGCGGGCGCAGGTGGGGCCGGGGCGGGGCCGGGGGGAGCGCGGCGGGGTCGGGGCGGGACCGGCGCGGCGCCGGCAGGAGGAGGACGGGGCGCACGTGTGGCAGTGCGAGGTGCGCTACGTCACTTTCCTCGGCGTGGGCCGCGACGCGCACACCTTCGCGCTTATCGCCGACACCGGGCGGCGCTTCCAGTGCGCGGCGTTCTGGTGCGAGCCCGACGCGGGCACCATCTCGGAGGCGGTGCAGGCAGCCTGCATGGTGAGCAAGGCGGAGCGGGGCGACGGGGAAGTGGATCGGGAGCCGCCCGCCGCCACGCCGCTCGCGTCCCCGCAGGTGCAGTACCAGAAGTGCCTCGTAGCCGCCGCGCCGGGGCCGAAGGCGAAGCGCACCGCCGGGGGAGCGAAGGCGGGCGGGGGCAGCGGCGGCGCGGCGGGGCCCGGTCCGCGGAAGCGCGGGGTGCTGTCGCTGCTGGAGGCGTTCCGCCAGCGGCACGCGCTGCTACACCTGCCCTAACGCGGGGCTGCGGGGCTCGGCCGGACCGCGCCCCTCCGCCGCCCGCCAATAAAGCTCCGCAGCCAGCTCCGCCTCCGCTTCGCTCCGCCCTCGGTTCCGCCCCGCCGTGGCGCCGGGCGGGAGGGGCGCGGCGCGGTGACGTGGTGCCATGGCGGAGCTCTACGTGAAGCCGGGTGAGGGCCGCGGCGCGGGGGGGATGCGCTTCCGGGGCGGGGGCGGCGGAGGGAGCGGGGCGGACGTGCCGTGCCGTGCCGTGCCGAGTCGAGCCGTGCCGTGCCGTGCCGTGCCGTGCCGTGCCGTGCCGTCTCTCACCGCGGCCTCCGCTCCCTCCTGCAGGGAACACGCAGCGCGGCTGGAACGACCCTCCGCAGTTCTCCTACGGGCTGCAGGCGCGGGGCGCGGGCCCCAGGCGGACCCCGCTCAGTCGCCGGGTGCCGAGCGCTCCGCAGGGCCCCCCCGCAGGTCAGTGCCGCACAGACGGAAGGGGTGGAACCGTGGCGCTCCCGTGCGGCGGCGGCGCCGTCGGCTCCGCGGGCGGCCCCGGCCCTGAGCGCCCCGCGCCGCTCCGTTCCCCGCAGGCGCCCCTCCGGACCGCCCCCCCGCGGGGCCGGGAGCGCCGCCGTTGGGTCCTCCCGGCCCCGCCCCGAGCGCCCGCGGCGCCCCGAGCCCCGCGCCCGGCGAGGAAGGCGGCGCCGCGGACGGGGAGGTTCCCGCTGATGCCGTGCTGGTCCCGCTGCGGGAGGCGCTGTCCGCGTGCCGCCCCGCCGTGCAGGTGAGGCCCCGCCGCTCTCCGCTCGCAGCCGTTCCCGGCGCAGTCCCTCCCTGGGGCCGTCCGCCGGCGGAGCCCCGCCCAGCGCGTACCGCTGCTTTCAGAAACAAGTCTGCGATGACATCGGGCGGCGGCTGACGGCGCTCGGGGACGCGTGGGCCCGGGGTAAGCTGTCGGCCCCCGTGAGGAGGAGGATGGCCCTCCTGGTGCGAGGTGAGGGCGGGGGCTTCCGGAGCGGAGTCGCGCGGAGCAGCCGCGGGACGCCGACGGGTTCCTCTTCGCGGCAGAGCTGGAGCGGCGCCGCTGGGATGCGGCCGACGAGATCCACCGCTCGCTGATGGTGGACCATGTGAACGAGGTGAGCCTGTGGCTGGTGGGCGTCAAGCGGCTGATCGCCGAGTGCAGGAACCTGCCCGCAGGCGAGGACGGCAACGCAGGCGAGGACGGCAACGCAGCCGGGCCCGGCCAGGAGGTGCCCGCACCGCCCAGAGCTGCAGACTGAGCAGGGCGGCGGGAGGAGGAAACTTCGGGACCCTGGCGACGCTTTTGCCTCTCACTTCTCTCTCAGAAAAGGGGGAATTTTAATCACTGCGACATCTCGGTGGTGATTCACTGCGTGATGCTCAATAAACAGCGCTAATCTGCCCCCAGCCCCTTTTTCCAGGTACACAGCCTCAGCTGTAGGTTGCAGGCTGTGCAAGCACAGCGTGGGAAGCGGTTCCACCCTGTAGCACTGAGGTTGGACTGCAGCTGGCTGTGACGGCAGCATTGCTCGTCCCTGCTTCACATCTGGCAACACACAGGAGAGCTGCTGCAGCAGAGCCAGAGCCCAGGTCAGCTGCAGGGAACAGGGGGAGAGGGGAAAGGGGAACCATCCCAGGCAGCCTAAGAGCTGTGTAGAACCATCATGACACCACCCCAGGGCAAGTGCTCCATGGATGCTGTAGAGCAAGCAACCCCTGCCCCACCACTCCATCATTTCTGTGCCTGCCAGCACTGCCCCAGCCACAGCTGGGACAGTGAGGGAGATGAGCAGCAGCATCAGCAGGGGCATACAATGGGCTGTGCCCAGATGTGAGCTTGCACTTCTAAGGTACTTGGAGCTCTTGCTGACATAACCCTGAATTCCTGCATTCATGTGCAGAAGGGAGGTACCTCTGCACTCTGAAGCGTCACCTAGCACTGCTCAGATTCTCTAAGCCTCCCTCCCTTGTGCACAGAGGACCAATGGAGAGATCCACCAGTTCAGCAAAGGGGTTTCATGGTGTTTATTAATCAAGCATGAGCTCCTAGGCAGTTGCACCAGCTAGTTGTGCTAGAGCCTGAGGTGTCACACATTCATCCCCAGCATCAGAGAGGGCTGCAGCCAGCTGGTCACGGTGCCAGCACCTCCACAAGGCCCAGGAACAGGCCCAACCACGGCCTGGAGACATGAAGCTGGAAACTCAGATGTCCATCTCAAACTGGTCTCGATCTGTAAAGGGGTATGGATACAGATATGGGTTAGGATAGGGCTCCTTCAAGGGAAACATGCAGGCAAGTGGCTGGAACACAGCCCAAGGCTGAGCTGCAATCTCCCACCCTTGCCCCTGTGGCCAGGCAGGCACTATTGGCCTGGTCCTCCCTTAGGTAGGGGCTGTACCACCCACCTGGGCTGCTCACCTGGCATGGCTTCTTCACTCTTCATTCTGCTCCTTGTGCTCCTCCAGCTTGACGAGGCTGGACTGGGCCAGGGAGGTGACACCGGGGATCTGGGGCAGGCAGCAGGGAAGGGTCCTGGCCCCGGGCGAATTCTTGCACTCCAGCAGGAACTTGCGGTCGTAGATGATGTGGGTACCTGCCAAAAGTAGGGGGCTGTCAGGCACTGCTGTCCCCTGGCAGCCCCATTTCTGTGCACCACAGTTCTGTCCCCAGCTCACTCAGCTATGCTGAGAGCTACAGCTGAGTTTGTAGCAGTGGTGAAATTTCCTGCTGGCAGTAGACTGAATCCCATCCTGTTCAGCAGCCACTGCCCATGTTGTTCCTTCCCCCTGGGAGGGGCAGTAAGCAGCAGGACAAGTGAGGGCAGAAAGCAGCTTCATGCTGGGTTCCCTGCAGCAGCCCACACAACAGTAGGTTCAGGTCAGGGTTGCTCCCAGTCCACCCTGTGCTGCCAAAAGAGTACTTCAGGGTTTTGCCCAGGCTTTTGCACCAGGATGCGTTTGCCTGTGCCCTGCCCAGAGGCACAGCTGGCTCTGAGATGCATCTCTTCATCTATTGAACAGCAAAGACAAAGTGCATCCCCCAGTGGCTTCCTGGGGAGGCCACTGCTCTCAGCTCAGCCACACGAGCCATCTTTGTGTGCACTGTGCTGGGTTCAATGGCAGGCTGCTGGCTCATCAGCTGCTCAGGGTGCTGCTGGGAGGGGAAGACCCTGCACTGCAATTGTCTGCTAGCAATCTCAGAGACCAAACCATCCTGTCTGCCACATCCGCCACCCGCACAGAACAGCCAGGGCCCAGCAGGATGGAGGGTCACACAAAGCACCAATTCTAGTGCCAGGCTCCAACAGCTACAGAGCCGTAGCTGGCACCAGCAGGGTGGCCAAGAGCTCCTGCATGGGAGCAGCAGGACAATGGCACTGCACAACGCACACAGGCACCCACTGCAGCCCTCTCTGCTCCAGACCCAGCTCTAACAGCACTAAAAAGAGCTTACTGATGGCACACAATGGAGCCAGTACCCACAGGATGAGCACCTGCCATTCAACTCAAACATGGCTAGCACAGGGATGGCACCAGAAAAGGGCCTGCTTGAAAGCTACTATGAGTTGTTTTTTTGTGGGGGATTGGATGACAGTTAATAGGGCACAACTCAGGCACCCCGGGTGAGAGCTGTACCAACCTAAAAATCTCAGGTCTGAGCATCTTTTATGCTGGCATCCTGTGCTGCTCCAGCTTGTCCCTGCCTGGGAGCAGAGCTCCCTACTGGAACCCATTCCCCAGCAACACAACCCTCAAATGCCTCTGCCTGCTCCCAGCACGATGGGAGTGATGGCCTCAGCAGCAGCTACAGCCTTCTGATTAACAAAACATTAGACTTCCTGTTTCACTCTAGCTATGGATGGAGGTCTGGCTAAGCATGGAACTGGGGCGTTCCCACAGCATCCCTGTGCCACCCAGGGCCATGCTGTGAGGCAGAGAAGCACAGCTGCCTGAGGCTTACCAGGACCAGCTCAGGGCAGCCTGCAGCAGGCATGGACACAGCAATGGAGGGCACTGCTCCTGCTCAAAACAAAGCCCAGCTTTTGTCCAAGAGGAGGCCAGCAGGGCAGCATCCCCAAGAGGCCGCCCCTCACCTCCCCATCATCACACTGGCCACACACACACACGCCACTGCCAGTCTGGGGAGCCTTCCTCTGGGGAGCCTGCCCTCTCTTGCACAGTGTCTGATGGCCAGCAGAAGGTATCAATCACAATGCCTACAGCAGAGCTCTTCACTAATGCAGAAGTGAAGCCAGCTCCTAAGCAGGTGCTGTACACCAGGTCACAATTGAAACAACTCCCCCAAGGGTCCCCAAGAACAGACAGCTAAGTCAGCACTAGAATGCCATTTTTTTTCCTTCACCATCAGCTTTTAATACAATTACCATCAACACAATCATTTCTCCTTTGGTATTTGTGTTATCAGGGTGTCAGTAAGATCATTTCCTTCTTGAATACTAGATAGAACATCTAAACACATCCAGTGTTGTTTCTGATGTTTATTTGCCTATCATACTCGGATACTACTTGTGCATTTCATATTTTTAATATTCCTGAACACTCAGGAGTAACTGGGAACAGACACTATTACGTTATTTCAAGAGTTCACTCATGCAAATTAACACTGAATCCTCTCTTTTGGCTGTTCCTTCCTCATACTCCTCCTGGAGAAACTCTGATGTTGTATGGTAAGGAATGTCAGGAGGAGGAAGAAACTTCCCTACCTTTGTTCTATCTGCCCCCTGGTCTAAGAGACCATCAAAAATGGTCCATTGTACTGAACACTTTGTGCACTGTATGTACCTGCTGGAGAAATAGACCAAGTATTCAGTGTAGTTACTGCATCATCACGGAGCAAAAGCAGAAATAAGCACTGTCTGAAAGTAGAAAGTGGAATACCTCTAGTGCAGGCCAACACCAGAATCAGGCTGGGTACAGAATGAGGATTTGTCTTGTTTGCTGTATGCAAAAATCCTCTTCTTCCTCATAGAAAAGGCGTGAGAAGCACTTACCAGATTTAAGTGGTTACAAAAAACTTGAAATTGCACAATGACATCTTTTCTCTAGTAGAAAGTAGGCTGCTTTCCTAATATTTGCTTTGGGGCAGTGGGAGAATGACATGAAGAAGCCCTGCATTTGTCTATGAGACACTGATTTACCTATGGCAACTTTAGACACCATTGGTTGCCAAGGTGTCATCAAGTCAGTCCCTGAACAACACCTCAGTCAACACATCTGGAAAAACAGCACTAGAGGAAACAAAATAACCCAGAAAAGTGCACAGCCATGGTCACAAAAAAGAAAAAGCACCACACCCCAAAACACCAAGACTGGCAGAGGAAGGACCCAGCAAACTTTGCATCATAAATAACTGCACATCAAAACCCTCAACCTCTTTCCCCAAACCCTGACTACAACCACATGCTGATGATGTGACTGTAAAAAGATGCATCACTAGGCATGGCAGCTACCAATGACAATACACATCCTCTCCAAAATTCTCACACACAACCTATAAATACTGTTCACCTTTTATTGAATATTCAGGTTAATATTTCACATTAATACAGGCTACAGAAAGTAGAGCCATTATATGACATGAGATTTACTCAGCTTTTCCTTTTAAGTATGTAAACAATTATACACTTTTTTACCACCCTAGCAGATTGAAATCATATAATTATCAATTTCTCCTGCATACCAATAACATTTAGTAGTTTAGCCAAAAGCATTAATTTTATCTCATTTTTAAGTTCAGAATGGCTAAACTAACTGGAGAATGGAATCAATTGTATAGGTAAATCAATTTGTTCTTATTGAATGGGCAATCAAGTTTTCATTGTTACACAGCCCACAAAAAATTGCTTAATTAGGCACATAAAAAAAAATCTTCAAATCATAAGGTTTCCCAAACAAGGCTAAAAAAGGATAAACCCCCTTAAATCAGTTGACGTACTTGAGATGCATGTTTCCAATGTGAGGTGCCCAGGTGCCAGGCCAAATCTATAGCAAGAAATAGAAAGACAAATATTTTATGAAAACAAATAAAGCAATTTAACAGACAATTTAACCACTAGAGGGTAAACTTAAGGCTTCCCCTAAAACATAACCAGACTGTCCAAGCACTGGGCAAGAGTCTTCATCTCTGGCCTGGTTTTGACTGACAACCTGCAAGATAACAAGCATGGGTGTGAACCCTGCCTCTTACAACAAGAGCTGGTACCCTGTTGAGCATTCTTGAAATTCTCACCATTTTACCTGAAAGTTTCCACACTGATACCACTATGTATTAAACACACATGCTACGGGTGAAAAAATCACACACAATCTCCATTCTAGTATCAAAGAACAAGGAGAAAATGACATCTAGTAAAAAAAAAAAGCAAAACAAAGCGTAACACCATAAAAAAGCCCCACAGAAACAAAAATGGAAAAATGCAACCACACTACCTGCTGAGCATCAGTACATTCTGTTGAATTTTGGACAACTTTGATCATGGGATTCCAGGCTGGATCTGGAGTATGAAGCCCATTAAAGAGAGGGCCTCCCGGGCCATCTGCTAGCTGAGGGTGTGAGGGTATGAGAGTGCCTCCATACATGGAAATCGGTAGGCCCTGAAGGGAAAATACAAGCACCAGTTACTAGTAGCAAAGATAACCATACCACAGCTACTTCTGAAACACACTGCAAAAGCAGTTTCACTGTCAAGCCCATAGCACTGGACATTTCTCCAGCAGAGGCGGGGCTGATTATGGCTTGGCTATGCTGGTCTGCCTCCAGCTGTTTTCCAGTGTTAATACACAAGGGGCAGACTTGCAAGTGTTTCCTCATCATGTCACTTCCTTAAGAAAGGCCTGTGGCATTCAAACAAACATGGTTTCTATCTTTAATCAGGCTCTAGAGCTCAGCCAGCCTTATGCTATCATTTCCAAGTAAGTGGGTCTCTAAGAAAGGAAAGTAAAACTGATGAAGGCATCCAGTGCCTAAACAGGGGAACATCTGCAATCCGCAAATTCTGATTTTGTTTAAAGTGTGCCTCTGGGCTTGAGCATCCTTTCTAGTCAGTAAGACAGTCCTAGGATGAAAGTGGATCTACATGTTACAGCAAGAAAGGGTAGAAGAGGCATAGACATACAGTGTAAACCAGCAAAACAGAAAATACACTTGCACATAGAGTAAACTTGTCTCTCAGAATCAATGCTACAGACTCCTATGTCTACTAATACAGTGAAACTCCCACATTATCCAAATTCTCCAGTTATTTTCCAAACCACTCACAGAGAAGCAGCATCATGAACCCAATCTGTTAAGCTTGAACTGCACAAATCATCCTTCGAATAAAAAAGTAATTTGTCATTCAACAGCCCAAACTCATCCCTCTGTGACTTACTTTAGAAAAATCCACGAAACTGTTTGGCATAGGTTGATGGAAAATGTTTGAGGGAGCTACTATTCCAGAATCATCTCTCTCCATTGGCTGATGCTGAGAAAACGTGCCCGGGTCTGACAACTGCTGATGCATCGGATGGTTTCCCATTACAGGCTGAGACCAACCTGACAAGCCCTCTGGAAAGAACAAGATTGAAAATGGACGATTAGATTTGACTGAAGATACTCTAGAGCTTGAGTGTGTAGAGCTTCATGCACCCCCACAAATCCAAAGGAACAATGCAAAATCAGCATTCACAACTATGCATTTCTGGATGCACTAGCTGCACCACAGCTTTTAAAGTGTCTGCAAACAACAAGCTTAAAAACCTGGAAGAAGGCAATTATCCTTCAGTGCCAAGGTTCAGACCTGGAGATGGACTCTGGAAGTAAGTAAAAGCTGTTTATTGTTACAATTCTCAATAGACTTTAATATAACGTTTTTGAAAACTTTTCAGGGTTTATAAGTGTACTCAGAGATAATCTAGATTGAGTGAGAATCATCTCTGTTAGGAGCAAAAATCACAATATCTGCATCGCGAAAATTACTGAAAATTACACCGTTTGATATTAGTTTTCCTTCTAGGATACACTACATCCACCTCTCTCTTACCCTCTCCAATTCCCTTTTCAAATGTACTATTTTCAAAAGGCCCCACAAGTTTCTTCAAGCTATTCCAGACCATGAAAAATAGACTTACCAGATACGCTGTTAACTCCAAATGACCAAATACCACTATGACCAACCGGAGCTGTAAAGTTGGTTCCTAAGGGCGTAGGAGTGACAGATCCTCCCTGTCGAATTCTAGCAAGTCTTTCTGTCCCAATGGGGGGGGGTACCTTTCGATCTTGATTCGTGTTACCCGTTTTTGGCTGGCTCAAGTTAGAAGGTGCAGAAGCAGCTGAAAGGGGTGAAGATGATCCTGAGGAAACTGATGGAATAGGAGATTCACCTGCTGAAAAAATAATTTATTTCGCTTAATCACAAAAAAAAACCCACAGAAATTAGTGATAGTAAATGCTACCCTTTCTATCCCCTCAATGCTATCTCAAGGCAAATGATAAAAGGGTTTTAATGGCTTTTTTTTCCTCCAAAACATTCTTCAGTCTTTCACAGAACTTCTGTTTAAATCTTACTTTAGCTCTAGAACGAATAGTAGCACAAATGCTTTCAGGTGCCAGAACTGTGATAGTCTTATTACGCAGAAGTACATCTAAAATAACTACAAGAAAGAATAAGAAACATGGAAGAGTTTCACGAAGATATGAAAAAAATCAGCCAAGATACCATAAATATCGAAGCAGCCTGGTTTTGGTATCTACCACCTCCAGCAAGAGAAATTAAAAGACAGCTTCTCAAAGACAAATGTGTAACATAAGAACACAACTTTCACCAGCTTCAGAAGTGTCACTGTTTCTGAGAAATCCAACTTCTTTTGAGCACTCATTTAAACATTTTGCTTCTTAAGCTCAGAGTTGCAATGAAGTTGCATGCAGTGACATGAAAAGTCTCTTCATTTAAGACTCTAAATCAAAGACCCACATTGTCTGTAAAGCTACTTCCATATTCTTCCCATTAGTCAGAAACCTCTACGTCACCTTGGATGATACATTAAGATATTAGGATATTTTGACTAGCAAGAAAATTCCAGAATGCCAACTTAAAATAAATAATAAAAACAAAAAGAAAGAGGAATTATAACTTCACATAATGATAAACATAACATTTCCCTAACATTACACTCATTTAGATGGGAATCATTAACTGGCTATAGTCACCTCCACTCCCACTCCCCCACAACTTAATGCCTTCACCTTTTAGAACCTACAATGACCAATTTTTTTCCAAATAGACTTTGGAAACGCTACCAGGACTAGTGGCATTTTACTTGTTAAGAAACAAAACAGTAAAGTGGGATTGGCATGGCATCCTCACAACTGCTAAATTGGAAAGCACTGTATCATAACTGTCTAATTTCCCCCCAAGTTACAAATCTACTGAAGACAATAGCTAAGAATGTACAGTTAACTAAGACAGACCCATGAAGTTCCTACATGAATTTGTTGCGCTTGTCCAAGGATGTGGTGAAAAATGCTGTCTGTTAAAGCTGGGAGTCCCAACAGGTGCTGGCCCTTGAAGGTAAACCCGTGCTCCTTGCATGTTTGCTGAAAAGCCTGTCAAAGGACCTGAAGAAGTTGTAGAGCTGTTGGATGGATCTAGAGAGGGTAAGCCTGAAATAAACATAAATTTCATTAAATATATCTCTTTGGGAACCTGATTCAAAGCCCTAGAGAGAGCCTGCACTTCAATATAATTAATTAAAGCATCTCATCACCTTCAGGGGTATCTGCATACACTAAATTAATTTTACAGGTGCACAATTCTCCCTCAGACAGAAACCAACAGAAGACATTTCTGTATGATCTCTGCTTTTGCCTCAATTTTTTTAAAAAAGCCATCTCTTCAGTCACTGAAAGAAATTGAAATGGAAGTTACAAGAAGCAAACTAGGAGGTGGCAAAAATCTTTCTTTACCAAAGAGCCAAACAGGAATATGGGGTTTTGTGAAAGCTCTGAGGGAATCAAGCACCAAGGAAGTCTCACTGCAGCACAGTTCTACCGTCTAGTTATATTCACATACAGGTCAGTCAGAGCACACTACCACCAAGGAAACAGGGATGACAATAGACAGCAAAACAGAGGAGGGGCTGCTTCCTACAGAAGTGCATGAGAGGAGGGAAAAGATGGAGTTTAAAGTCCCACAAAAAAGAATCAGCAAGAAAAATTACAGTTTTTGAACAAGTCCAACTTTTTAAGCACTTTTCCAAAATACTTTAAAAAGTTTTTATCACACACTGTTAACAGGAAAAAAAAAAAACTAGCATGGCCATACATTTACCTCTGTTCTAGGTTTAGTTTCAAGGGTCTATTAAACAAGATTAGTTTCAATACCACTGAAACATTTCCAGACGACCACAACCAGGACCAGCCTGTATTGTCACAGAGCAAGGTTGAAACCGCATCCTTGCTTACACTCTGGAAGTCTGAAAGCAGCACTGGTGACAGGCAACAGCTTAGGTCATGAACTACAGACACACCTTTCATCTCTTGGATATATTACTGAAAGCCATGTCTTTTCCTCATTATTAAATGAAGCATAAAAATATATCCACCAAATAACCTCAATTTCCTGCCTCCAGAAGTGTCAGATCCAACCTGTTCACATTAGCAGAAATGACTCGCTGCTTTTATCACTAACCATGCCCAAAAGATTTGTTTAAAGTCTCTGTTACAGAGAAGAAGAAATACAAGGTAAATCACCACCACCACCAGAACATGGAGTGATTAGAAGGAGTCCCTACTCTGGGGATACACTCCTCCAGGGTTTGCCACAGCACAAACAACCACAGCCTAGAGTGCACAACTCTAAGAAGCTGCCGAGGCTGTGCAGGCTGCTGGCACACACTGCCCAGACCATTCCCTCCTAGGGCAGCGCGTCTCCCCCAGCACACTCCTTGCCAGAACTGCATCATCTCCAGCTAAGGGCCCTTCTCACACACCTCCCACCAAGCTATCCTTCCTTGTATGACAGTACATCAGAAGCAGCCAGAGGGCCTCTATGGCCATGGATCCCATTGCACATCAAAGACTAGCTTCTAGCTGGCTGTATGTATTCATCAGTGAAAGCAGATGTTTTAAAACTAAAACAATTTGCAATAGTATACTTTCCACTTAGAAGTCAGACTGCATATTATGCTCAAAAAGCATTTCTGAGCTTTAAGAGACTGGTGCATCAACATCATACAAATCTGCTCAAAATTTAGTTCAAAGCCACCAGACTCCCCTTGCAGAAATCACTTAACTACAAGGGCTAACTCCAGCTTTAGAGAATCAGCAGCAATATTGGTGAATCGATGCAAAATAGGGAGCCCAGCCACCTCTTGCAAATTTGTGGTCATGCACTGCTTTTTCAGATGGTTTATACCAAGTTTGCAGTAACTTTTAACACAAGTAAGTTCTCAAACTCCTTCTTAAAAATGCAGAGGAAAAAGCAGACTCTTGGTCATCCTAAAATCTCTCCAAACAATCAGTCTCTGCCAAAAATCTGCAAGCTGCTAAGACAAGAACTCTGAAGGCATACATGGAACAAAAGGCCATTCCCAGAACAGATCCACAAGCGGTAAGGATGCGTGCACAGGTACCTGAGCCTCAAACAAACTGGTGAAATCAGAGACAACTCAAGTTGCAACAGTTTTTATCCAAGAATAAACATAAACTCTACATTAAAGTGACACTTAAGAAAAAACTGTTGTAGTGCATGATCAGATTAGGCTACATCTTTACCGCAACAACTTAGAGGTGATTGCTAAGAAATGCTGATCCACAGACAGATTTCCTATAGCCCAGCTGTACAAGACAGGCATAAGAGAAACCTACTGCTTTAACAAGTATAGAGTCACAGCAGAGATCAGAGGACTATATCTGTTTTTACGACCATTACTATCCACTCTCAACATATAAAGGCATACTGAATTACCAAGCAAGGCCCAAACTGCTTGAAGCCAAAGTATATGCAAGTGCTCTTTGAAATCACACAAAACCTGCCACTAAAACTTAAGAAAAACATCAAAACAGTCCTAATTCATCCCACCTCAAGGGCTGAGCCTACTGGAAAGGCCTATTCATCTGTGAAACCCCACTGAGAGGAGGGGCAGGCAGACTGGAAGACCACACTTCCAGCCTAAGGGTCAAGGTGTTGGAGAGCCTTCAGCCTCCTGCCCTCACTTCTTTCCTCACCATCACAACTTCCAAACACCCCCTTCTCCTTCAGCTCCACAAGTCCCTTCTCCTTCCGTGTGACAGAAAAAAAACATAGATTCTGAAACAAGGGTGATCAAAAATAGCATTAATTAAGAATGACATTGTGAGCCAGCAGAGAACCCAACAAATGAGTTAACTGCTGTCAGTCAGAATCTGACATAACCTTCCTTCCCCAGAGCAGGATATTCCAGTGAGCCACAGTTCCTGGAGTTTACTGAGAGGGGTCTGCCAGCTCCTTTGTTGGCAGACATCTGCTGAGCAAGGCCCTGTTTCTTCACCCCCCTGAAGTCTTAGTTGCAACTGGTTCTGCTTACTGCACTGGGAATGGACATGGCATAAGTAGTCTGGGTATTTGTGTGCGTTGCAGTGCAGTTATGCAGCCCAAATTAAATGCCTGAGAATACTAGTCGTAACAAATCTCTCGATAGTGGAAAACATCAGCTGAATCATCTAACACCACCATGTGGTGTGGAAGACAACTTTAAAAGCAAGCTTCTCCAGCTGTCCAGCTGCACGGCACCATAAATACACCTCAGCAAGAAGAAAGAGGAGAATGGAGTAGCAGTGGGGACTTTTCGAGAGTTCCTTCCAGCCAAATGAATGCAGCCAGGCACCTGCATTATCATCATCACTAAAATGATAATAATCTCCCAGGCAGTGTTTTCACTGTGTTTCTAGCACACTTCAATTAAAGACTTGTAAGCTTGAACTAATATACTTCACACCTGAACAATTGCTTCTTAATGACACACCATGTAGAACCACACCAGTTTCCCAAGGCACGTTAGCTTATCAAAATCCTAGAAAAACACAGCAAAATCACCCTTCAGTCTACAGGATCAGGTCACACAGAAAAAAATACAGGGTACTCTTTCAGAGTCCATCTGGAATCTCATACAGTGAAAATATTAAGCGACTACATGCTGTCACTCCTGCTGCTAGGCTGAATCTATTGAAAGTTCTGGCCTGGCTGTTTCAGGTTTAGTATCACCTAACATATTATACTCCAACTCAAAAGCTAAAAATCAAAGTTACTCTAAATTCTACAAAGATGGAGACACGTTCCTCCCTCTTAGGGCAAACAGCACAATGTCTATAACATTCCCAACAACCAATATCCTAGAAGAACTAGAGAAAAAAAGAAATGGATGAAAATAGGTCATCTAGTATTCCACAACCATAATTCATAAACTATTTCTCAAACAATCTCAAGCAACAGAAGTGTTGCAGAAAAAAAAAATTCTGTCCAGCACATGTTCTTGGTGACTTACCTACAGGACTTGTAGAAACCCGTTGCGAAGGTGGCCTGAAACCAGGAGCCTTGGAGTTATCAGGATGCACGTTCTCCACGTGTCCTAGCACAGAGTTATTCAGAAAGGTAGACTGAACAGTGAAAGATGGGTCAGCTGCTGCTCGGGTGGAAAGCGGACAGTCTCCCCATCCTTGGTTAGAGGGCACCTGGTTGCTATCAAAAAGACTACTGAAGTGATTGAAGAGAGTTGCTGGCCCAAAGGTAGGAGGCAATGACTTATTTGCTGGGTTAATGTGCATCTGAGAACCGTTAATAATGTTCATGGCTGACGAAAGCTGCACCGCAGCAGGTGGACCTTGAGAAGGTGTTAAGGGAACTTGATTTGTAACAAAAATAGACTGAGGATCTTGATGAAGGTTTGCATTTGGTACCACTGAATAGAAAGAACCTCTGGACTGCATCCTGTGAGTAACTCGAGGTGCTGGTACAGCTACTTGAGGTAAGTTACTGTTGTCCTGATTATCTGCAACAACCGACCTGGGTGATGCTAAGCTTAAAGGAGCAGTTTCTGAGCTGGAAGAAATAGGCATCGACATAGAAGGGCTCATTTCTGACATGCTGGCTGTTAGTATTTCATCTTGGGTGTTCATTAGAGGTGCAGGGCTGCTAGATGGACGAGCTTCAGTGACTCCTGAATTGCTGCTAGCTGACATACTGGAACTACCTGCAACAGAAGGTGGTGTGCATGTATTTCCAACAGGCTGGTCTGGTGTTGACACTTTCTCTTTGGGTGCTGAGACAGCTGAGAAAGAGTCTGCTTTAAGTGCAGAATGCTGCGTTTGTGGAGCAGTAGAGGGCAGAAATGCTGCAGAAACTTGCCCATTGTTTGGGGGCACAGAGGAAACTGAAGGCAGAGTGCTACACGTGTTTGTCACAGTTGAGATTGCTGTTGCTGCAGCACTTGTCTTCGGAACACAGGCAAACAACTGCTTTCTGACTGAAGAGGGAGTCCGATTACTTGTTGCACATAGCGGCTGGGTGGAAGCAACTACTGAAGAGACAGTAATGGGACAACTAGAAGTAGCTAATCCGGGAGACTCTGTCTGTAAAATATTTCCATTCTGACTACCTACACGACTTGAACTATTATGCTTTGGAGAGCTATTTGTGCTGCCAGGGTTAACTGGTCTCACTGGGAATGGTCCCCAAGTGTTTGGTGAAGGTGAAAAGGTTCCTCCAAATTGGGCCATAGGTAAGCGAGGGTGCCGGATCTGTTGCATAGTTTGGGCAGCCAGCAAGGCAAAATGAGGATGAGAATAAGCTAGAGGAAGAGACACTGGAAAAGATGAGCGCACATTTGCTGGGACATTCTTGTTTAGTTTGTTAGTAGGCTGGAAAGTAGATAGAGTTGATGACTGCGATGTGACAAGAGGTGGTGCTCCAAGAGGAAAGGAGTTTTTGTTTGAAGCAGATGCTGTACTAACTCCAGATGAGAAGTTTGCATGGATTGATTTGTTACTCGAAGCAGGTGTTCTTATATGAGTTTTAGGAATCAAGTCTTCCAGTTCCTTGGCAGGATCTTGAATAAGGGCATTGATGAGTTGCACTGCGTATCGCGTTGACTCCATACCACCCCTAAGTTAAACACAAATATATTTTACCTTTAATGAAAGGAAACCCCATTTTGTGCAACATTCTGTAGCCCCAACTTGATATTAATCTACAAGACTACTGCAGTTCTGCTCCATTAAATTAATCCTTAAGATAGCCACAGTCAAGAAGTAACTTTGAATAAGCAGACCATCAGCATATCTTGGCGGCAGTATTAAAAGTTCTATTTTATAGCCAAGAAACTAAGTATGTCCTGTCTTAAAAAGCAAAGAGAAGTTCTTGATAAATGACATTTCTGAGTTAGAATTTCATTTCTAAAAATTGTACCTTATAGTGATCATTCTTTCTCCATTCTTATCTTTTTGTTTATCAACGTCAATATGGGCACCAGTGACATCTTGAATTGCTGTGATGTTGCACCCACCTCTTCCCATTATTCTAGACACGACAGAAGCTGGGACAGATAATTTCTTTGACCTATATCACAAAGATCATAAATCTGTCAAATGTATTTAAACAATAAACACAAAAAATGCCTCGTTGTCTCACACGTGGCTGAAATAATATATCTATGTTTCAGGGTAGCAAGTGGTTTTCTGCTGATATTTTGTTCACCCTTTGGAGCCTCTCTAAAAATCACCAATCTCAGATTGTCATCTTCAGCACCTAACAAGGATTCTTCAAAAGCATCTCTACCACCACTGGTGTATCACAAATGTGCCTCATGTACTGCATCAGAAACATTTTCCAATTTTATCTTATCTTGTGCGTGTATCTTTGAAGACAAATTCTTAACTTATTGACTTAAATTTACTCAAGTAGCACTGCTTCAAATACAGAAGGCCACAGCTTAGCTACTTTGATCATTCACAACTAGTAGATGATGGTTTTCCATATCTTCCCAGTGATGAGCTCTGCGTACCACATGCATTCACAACCCTTTTAGTATTCATTTCTCTTAGACCTCAAAGAGGCTACAAAAGATCTTAATGTTTAACAGGTGACACTACACAATGGTGGATATCAGACTGCTAAACCGTGCAGTTCTGCAATTCAGTGAGATGCTGGAAGCCACTACGAAGGCAGCACAGATTTTTCAGGAGCAGGCTCACTTTTAGGCCACAACATTGCAACCCATACATTCAGTGAAATAAGTCATTTTAGCATTTTTCTGATTTACATGGTGTTGGTGGGTCAGTGCGGGCATGCAGCACTGAGGAGTCTTCGAACATGAACTATGCTTGCATCCAGACCCCAGCCAAGGTCTCTATGGGCCACCTCTGTTCCCAGACTTTAAAGGTTGTACCTCTCAAGCCCGTACAGTGCTTTCCAGCTAACTAGTGATGTGCAATAGTAGTTCAACACTGAACAATTAGAGGGGATTCAAAGGGGTTTCAGAAACCATTATGACCGCATTTCAAGCACCTCTGAACACTGTACAGATCACCACAAACTCCCTGCTGCAAGCTTCATTCAGCTATTTCACTCTGAGAATTTCAAGTAACTTGATCCTCAGGCACTCAGATTATGCACCAAGCTCTCATCCCAAGGCAATTTCATGCTTTGGGCCTTTGTCTCACCACCACCCCAAAGGCTCCTTGCTCAAGCCAGACAACTCTGTTGCTCCCTCCCCAAACCAAAGCTCCCAATATCACTTAACTTGAGAAGATCCCATTATACCAAGGATTCCAGCTGTCCCTTTGGTGTTCTTTCAACTCTGCCGACAAGGAACCCCAACGCCACCATCAACCAACAAATTCCTCCACCAAAAGAGCTTGCCCCAGCACCCAGGATCCCTCCCACCCATCACCCACTGCCGCTTCCCTCCCTACCCACAAATCTCAGTGGTTTTTACCTTAAGTACCCCAAACAGTACCTTTTTGCTCCTGAACAGCAGCGCCCTCCTCTCTGCAGCTGAAATTGCTCAATTGGTGTTGGCTGCAGAGTGTTGCTAGGGGGAGGGTCTTTCAAAACTCTGCCTACTTGCCTGTCAAGGGTAGAAGGGATGTTTTCATTGGTTACTTCTCTGATCCCTTCTAGCCACAGCGGGATACTCACAGAGAGAGGGGAGGAGAAAAATTCCTGCTGTAGAGACTGGGAGAGACTTAGAAGATGAAGGCATGCAGCTCCCAGGCATTTTGTACACAAAGCTACATACGCCAAACAGCTCTTTGGCTGGATGAATGCTTTGCCAATCATCAGGGCACAGCAAACATGGGTACAAAACACTTTCTGCACATAGTCTTTGTGATGAGACCTGATCCCTTAAGGACTAGGAAATCTCAGGTTTTAGATGCTGTTTCTTGAAAACTAGCATCCCTATCTCAACAGCAGACAACACCCAACAAAGCAATTCTCAAGAGACCCAGGAGGAGAGATGGGAGCAGCTCCAAGGTCTGTGTGCAGTGCTGGATAAGTCAGCTGCCTCTCCAACTGTTTCATGCCTGCATGACTCACCAAGTGGCAGGCAGTCTGTGACTATACATTTGGCAAGAACATGTCACAGCAGAGAATGTAAATGCAACAAAAGGCAGAAGACTGAGTCAACTTTCTAAGGGTTCATATGTTTAAGTTTCCAGATTAAAATGCCTTTTTTTTTAAAAAGTTATTATAGAGTTTGTAGCTTCCTCTGTACAACTATGGTGCACACAGCCTAAAATTCCCTAGAATGGGCACATACAGTTATACCATTGCAGAACAGAAAAGCAGCAGGGCATTATATGCACACCTAAACATGGGACACTTCTATGTTCATACTGCATTCCTTTTCAATAAAGGGAGCAAAACAGAACAGCCAGATGTTTGTTACTAGTTAAAAGTAGTAGATATGATAATGATCGCAGATGAGATTGAGTGGTTATTAGCTAGATAGTAAAAAAAAAACAGAACATTTTCAAAGGGAGCGTGTTTTACAGAAGTACAATTAGATTTAAAGGTTTTCCAACACTGAATTAAGGTCACAAAATTTTCATTGTAATTGGCAATCAAGGTAACCACTCAAAATGCAATGAAATTTAGCCACAAAGTGATCATCCACATGTATTATACTTTACCAACATCTACTCCACTTTTATTGCAAGCAATCATCCACAACTAGGAGCTTTAGTGCTGCCATTTGTTCCCTCCTCCTTCTGTATCTTAAGATACACCTTAACTTTTACCTTATCTTTTACTCCAACGACAACACATGTAAAGAAAACCCTTATGCCAAATAAAATGTTCATATGTTAAATTAGTGAGGGGTTACTACAAATTAGGACTGTAATTTGTTTTCACAGCACTGCAAGACAAAAAGAATGGATTTTTTTCTAATTGTTACAGTGGAATAGTTATATGAACCTGATGGAATTCTACATTTGAGTATAATTTGGAAATAAAAATGTTGAAACATTTCTTAAACACAGAATTAAATTCTTTACCTTCTAACCACTTCTTTCCAGCCTTCTTCTCTTTTCTGGCCTCTTTTTGGACTGGTCAGATTCAGCTTTACATTTGGAGAGGTCAGAGGCAGGGAAACAGGCTTGTAAGCAGTTGACAAAGAATTTGCATTACCTTCACCATCAAGTCTGGGAACAGAAATGTGCCGATTACAAATTATAGAACAAAAGTGACAGAATGAGAGCATTCATTTCTGGACCTCAAAACTTCCAGCATAAACTGCTTTCATCCTTTTTTATTTCCCACCCTACTTGGAATAACTGTTGGCTGACTTAAATAATTTCTTACATTTTAGTTCACTGCATTCCTTCCAAAATGGAGTGCTAAACTGAATCAAGTAATATTAGAAGCACTAAGGGCATAATCTATAAAATACTTCATAATAAGTGTTACACAACCATTTAAGTTACACCCAGATTATGCGCTCTCCTTTTTAATAGGTTTTTAAGAAAAAAATACTTTTATAATAATGTCCTTTTCTTACTAGGTACTTGAAAATGTCTTCATTTTTCATCTCTTTTTAGAGATTCCCTGTAAATAGGTGAGCAGAAGGTAAGTGCTTCTACCCTCTGCCCCCCCCCCCCCCCCCCGTTTTATGAACAGGTAACCGTGTGTGGCACATGGATTTCAGGATATTTTACTCTTGTTGAAGTCAACATGAAAATACATATGCAAAACCTGTACTAACACAACCGTAGCAATAGACTGGCAACACAAAACAGAGTAAAGTCTGGATGAGACAGAAAGAGAGGACCAGGTAAGCTCTTGTAGGCTAACTTATCTACATGAATGTAAAAAGAGTGTTTCTGGGTGCTCAGGTTCACATCCAGCACTGAAACAGAGGCAATCTCTAAAATGTAAGGCTAGTCTTCAATGAATGACTTATAAAGCGATTTGGTATAACAAATATAACAAAATATAACAAATCTAAGGCATATTTAGAAAATGTTCCAATTACAACAGCATTATCATCAACAAGTCTATGCTGAAAAAGAAAAGAAATTCAGGAGGAGAAAATTTAGAAACTTTTCAGAAAGACTGCTTAGTGCAGGGAGTAAAGAGCACCTGCAGAAGTTAAAAAATACAAAGCAGCCGTACTCATTACTGTCATGGTTTTTAGGTATACTTCTATCTGACAGAAGAACCACCCCTTTCTTCAGTTTAAGGAATCTCACATATTTAGTTAGTTAACTCTACATTAGTGGGTCATACAGGATTCCAAGGCATTTGTAGGAGAGGTCGAAGGCAAGACACAGCTTATATTCATAAAACAGAATATATAGACAATTCAATTTCTGATATTCCTAAGAATTTTAGGGAACTCTTCCCCTTCCTCACAACCACGATGGCTGACAATTTTAATTCTGGAGGAGAAAAAAACAACAAAAAAAATCCACAAAGCCGAGAGTCCAACTTATCTTCCCCCCTCCCAGCCAACAGCCCTCTTGCTTGCTATGCTTTGTGATGCCAGGTCTGCATTCTTGTTGAAGGTAGCCACGTGTCCTGCAGATCAGTCCCTATAGCCTCTACCTCTCTTAATGCCTGGGAAAAAAATGTAAGTAGTATGAATCTGATCTCCATATAAGTAAAAGTTAGCAGAGGCAAATTTCTCAGCAAAGACTACAAATTTAGAGGTTATTTAAGTTTATTGGTTTTGAGTAATGATCCTATTCAGAAACTGGTGTTACAACAGCTAGTCACTAGCTCCTTCACTGGCAACTCAATAATCTTCCAAGTCATTAGTATGGACTGAATTCTATTCACTGAATTCTTTTGACTCTCACCTCTGGCTTGACAAAGTTAAATCAAACTGGCCATCAACCTGGCAGGTGAAATGCTCAGAGTCATCAGCCTCTTCCCTCCTTAAAAAAAAAAGACAGCAATTCAAAGGAGCTAATGATGAAATCAGAAAGCAATCACAGGATAATGACAACTTGTGATTATATTATAAATAAGGCTGGCTCTTACTTTTTAAATTCCCTGCAAGTTTACTCTAAAATCTACTCCAATAAGTTCAGAGTTTTGCATAGTTATTAAAACAATGCAGAGACTTAACTGTCTGTTCTGCTAGAGTAGTTTAAACTAGTCAGCAATAACAAGAATTTTATCTCTAGTATTTTGACAAAGCTGCATTTAATAAACCAGACAACGTAATTTAACAAGCAAGCAAGCTAACTCTCTCTCATCCCAAGCTGGTCCCAAGCTCCAGCTGGTATAATGCCCAAGCTGCAGAAAATTTACATCAGCACAGGCAAAACACTGAAGAAACAGGGAAATAACACTGAAGTCTCACCTTGTTGATGTTTTTGAAGCTGAAGTGCTTGTTTTTTCTTCTTGAGAAGGGATAAGCAATGAGGCATAGCGCCGCTCAGAGGAATTTGTATCCATCGTGAAGTTCAGCTCCTGACTTTTACCTCCACTGCTACTTTCACTATTACAGTCTGTGCTATCCAAATTATCTGAATCACTATTTCCACTTGCACCACCACCTCTTGGCTCTCCATTTATTTTATTCTTATCTGCTTTTTGCTGTGCTAGAGATATATGCTGATCTGGCAAAATTATCTGCATATTCTGAGGAGTCTCTTTTGTTTTATTTTTCTTATTTTTTCTATTTGTGCTGGGAGTAGTCACCACATTAGCTCTCTTCTTCCCAAAGGCATTGGTGAAAGTAGCTGAAGTTGCAGAAATCCCAATTGTAGTTGTAGTAGTTGCGCTAGGAGGCTCTATAGGAACTTCTTGCTCCGCTGGAAAAAAACCCAAAATCACAAAATATATAAATCAGTGCCTCTGACTGAGGACACTTCAACCGAGATTATGCTCCTGCTAAGCTGTCAAGTCTATTTGCACTATATGCAGCTGTAAAATCACCAAGTAGGAAAAAGGTTTGGGAACAAAGAAGAAAAAACAAAGATTTACCAGCAACACAGCACTTTCACACTTTAACAGCAGGTAAGAACCAGGGTAGAAACTATACAACAACATCACAGTACCAAAGAAGCCAGCTTACTAACAGGTTACCTTATCTAGGTGCTTTTAAAAAGGCAACTCTAGAATTGTATTTTTCACATTTAAACACTCATTCTTTACCTTCATCATCATTTTCTTCATCATCATCATCTTCGTGTAGTTCTAGAGTTTCTTTAGGTTTATTTTCTTCATCTTCTTCTTGTTTCCTTTTTTGTTCCTCTTTCTTCTTCTTTCTCTTTTCCTTTCTTTTCTCTCTCTTAGCTGCAAGGGCTTGTTTTCTGCTTTCCTCTCTTGACTATGTAGGAGAAAAGGATTCAATATTTAAATATGATCACAAAGACTAAATTGTAATTCCAATCTTTCCTACAAACTGGGGCAGGGGATAAAAGAGAAGAGAGCACAGTGAACTAGGATGACTTTCTCACAAACTGAAGCATTATGCAGAAACCCAACAGACATTATGGAACAACAGGACTGAGTGGTTCCAAAAATTTCCAAAGAACAACAACAATAAATACAAACAAGTGAGAGACACTTAAAAAATTTACTGATAAAGCCAGTAAGATCCCTCATTATCTCAGTCCTTTATCAAAAACCATTATTTAATGTTGCAAAAGTACTGATGAGATTAACAGTTTTGACTTTAAAAACTATCCCACGGTACGTTACAGAATTAACTGGTCTCACTTCCTCATTTTAACCACGTTTTTTAGTATGAGATTAGTCACAACAGCAGTGCCATACTGTAGCTTTGCATAGCAACTGACAGACTGTTCATGAGTTAACAACCTGGAACATGAAAACACACACGAAACTTGTCCAAATCTTCCTTCTTTAATTAAACACTGTATGAACTGTTCATCAACAATTCTAAGAGCCTCCATTTAGAATGTCCATTGCAGATCACTTCTCTGCATTAGTCTGGGACACTTAATATTCTCAGTGAGGAAAAACTTCACTTCCCACATCACCTTTTCAATTTACTTTAGCTCATGTGGCAGCTTCTTCTTTGTATAGTTTGTAAAACTGAGCACTGGCCCATAAAACTTATGGACTACCTTTCACACTATATACAACATACTATGCACGACATCACTGAGACTGAAGATCTCCCTTATTTGCACTCTTTTTCTGTGCTGAAGTAATGCAAGAAAGCAACTAGTCACAATAAAAAGGACAGTGGAGTGTCTAGATAAAGTAACAATTCTATACCCTCAGTATATACTCTTATGGAAAGTAGATACAGTCACAATATGAAGAATTACTGCCCCTAAATCACAGTTTTAGGCATTAAGATAGATGACCACAATTCTCCACTCACTTTTTCCAGGTCTAGCTCCTTCAGCAATATAGTTGCATTCTTATTTGCCTCTGCAGCCTGCTGGTCTTTAGCTTTCACAATTGTTTCCACACACTGGTGACATTTTTTCAACAGGTCCTGGAATACAAAACTTTTCTTGTTACATCTGTAATAAACTAAAATTAAGGGAGAGATGCTTGCTCTATAAAACGCATTCATTAGCATACAAAATAGTTCCGACTTTAAACACTAATTTTATATTTTATATTAAAAAGATCTGAAAAAGCACGCTGAATCAAACATATACATTCACTTTCTGAATAACTGAGAATTTCCCATACATATTTTTACTGAAAATAATATACAGGGACTTTTCCCTCATAGTTACACTCACCTTGTCAGTTATAGTCGCTATATATCGCATGCATTCAATGTCCGATGGAAACTGGTTAACTTCTTTCACTAGGAACTGAACTACCTTCACATGGCCCTAGAACATCAAAGAAAATCCTGGTCTCTGGTATACAGTTGATAACATTCATCATCAAAATACAAATTTGGTATCTCTTGGTTCAATGCAAAAGACTGAGAATATACAAAAAGATTTTTGGTAAACTACTGTTTGAAATGAAAAGTGGTTAATCTTTCTCCAGTACATTTATATCTCATTTTAAATGCGAGCAGCTAACTGGGCTTAAGGACAGAGCTATCTGTTCACATTTTTAGCAGTCAAGACCACTCTGTTTAGACCTCATCTGTCACCCCCAGCTCGCTTTCTTGCCAGCCACTCCACAGAGCCAATGCAAGGCAAGTCTGATTGACAAGTTGAGCCACCTGAATATTATCCTAGCAAACTGCTGCTGGATCCACTACCTGATGGGGTACACTGTGCAGCCACACAGACAATAGACAAATGTTGCCTAAGTAGTTATCGACAAGCAGTGGAAGGACAGTAATGGCATACTTAGTATTTTCATTTGTCAGAAGAGCTCTAGACTTGTTTGACATTTCATTAAAGTTAATAAATTCTCTGCAACAGAGTTAGTTAATTTGTTTTACAGATAATTTTCATCTCTCCAAAATGAGTTTGATGTGATATACGTTTTAGTTCTTCTCTTCAGAGGGTCTAGGATTCACAGATTATGATTAATTTAAAGCAGACACTTTATGAAAACAGAAATTTTGTTGTGTTGATTCTTCCAAAAATCACCAGTCAGATATAAGACCAAATGAGAAATTCTGTTTTGAAAACATTTAACACTGAATCACACAACCAACTTGGCGTCCTACCTTGCGAAACGCTGACATAAGAGGTGTTATTTTCCGATTATCTGCTGCATCCACATCTGCTCCTGCCTGCACAAGCAACTGAACTACATCATAGTGACCACCATTAGCTGCCAACCAAAGAGGTGTATTTCCTTTCTTGTTACGAACATCAATATGCGCTCCTCTAAAAGAGTACAAGTGTAATCAGACATGAGTAAAGATAAGATAATGAAAGATCAGAATACAATTACATAAACAACTTTAATTATTGAAACCTAGTGGCTAGAGAAATTGTCCTTGAAATCTGCTCTTTAAGTCATAGTAATACAAGGATTAAGACTCCCTCCCTCTCGTTTCCCAGTGACAAAGGCCCATTGAATGCAGACTACTGCGTCACAGTTAATCAGCTAGCAATCTAAGGTCCCCTTAGCTTATCATTAACATTGTGACTATCCATACAACAGAACAGCCTCTTGAGATTTTAGCAGCATGTAGGGTTACGCTTGTAGAGCCAAGAGTTATTTCCAGGCCTTGCCTCATAAGTGACAGAGGGGTAATGAACATGGAACTTTCTGGATTAATATGCAAAGCTGCCAAATCAGATACTGTTTGCTTACCTCTGATCTCAGCTGTCTGCTGAGCTTAATTAATACTAGAGTAGCAGGATACTCCATCATAACACTGAAAGAGTAGGGAGCAGATGCAACATGCTACTTCCAAAGATTCCCATTCCCTTTGCTCTAAGATGTGAGAGGCAGCATAAACAAGAATACCCTTGCCACAGAGGAACATAGCTACAGAATACATGGCCTGCTAATGAAAAAAATAATTTACCGATTAATCAGCAGCTCACAGAACTTGTAGTGACCCTTATCTGCTGCAATTGTTAAAGCGGTATCTCTTGAGGAAGGCACAGGTGGAGCATTAACATCTGCTCCTTTATCAAGGAGAACCCTTCCAACCTCTGCATATCCTCCTGAAGCAGCTTCCATCAGCGGCGTGAGACCAGTCTGTGCAAAGAGAAGGAATTACATGATGTGGAATTCATACAATATACTTTGGATAAACTGTACACAATTGCCACACACAGAAATCAGATTTCTGTTTACTTAGCTGCTTATAATTTAAGTTAAGGAGCCTAACCTGAAGCAGCCTCGAAGAACTCTTGGCACTGCATTTATACAAACTTTGACAAACTACTGACTACCACTGCATACCCATCGCAACAGCAAAAAAAAAGTTTTCAAAAGAATCTCTAAAGGAAAGGTTAGAACAGATCCAGATGAAGACGACTGTTTCTATGAAAATGCCCCCAGTCTCATTTTACACGCTTTATATCTACCCTTCCTCAGTACTGAGGCTGATGTTGAGTCAACTCAGTTGCCTGCCAGACCATTAAATAAACTAATACTAGCTCCCAACATGCCCAACCAAAGCCAGGAGAGCTGGCTTTTATCCATATCCCTTTTTCCTTCCTTCCAGAAGCAGGCAGACACAGCAATTATTTCAGCAGCCTTAGGAGTTACCAAACATTCTTCTAGGTTAGGAAAATTGGTCTGGCAGTCCATACAAGATTACAGCTTGTTTTATTGCAGGAGAAACAAAGCTGCCCCAGAGTGAAAACACGTGGAACCTATGGAGTGTTTCAGAGGTGCAGAAAGTCACACAGTACTGAAGCCATTGGTTCTAGACTAACATAAAAGCTTTATAAGGTTTGATTGCACTACTTCTGTTCAGGTGGACAACGCAATCTGCGATACATGAGGATCACTATAGCAGCACAACTCTCTTCCAGTCTAGACATTTTTAATATGAGTGGTCAATCTGTTCTGTTGACAAATATCAGTACCAATATTAAACCTGAAAAGTTTCCCAGTACTACAGAGACAATCTGTTTCATTATTAAATTGGAAGAAACAATCAGCTTTTCCACAGTGCAAACAATGCATCTTCCTCAATGCTTGCAGTATTCTTAAACAAAGCAAACAAAAAATTTATTTCAGAACATTCAATAAATCCTCAGATTCTTCTCTTCTCCATTAAGATTTGCATATCAAGAGGGGCAATGCAGATTCTACAATTTAATTTTTCCATCAGCACACTGTGTGTTCGAATACCTTTAAAGGAAACAAAAACATTCTGTTAAACATCCACCTCCCTTCACTACTAATTTGCCTTTGAACCACTGAAAAAGAGAATGATGAATGCTAGAAGAGTAATAGGAAAATTTGAAGAAATAACTACTGATAGAAACACACTTGTTAAAGTAAATTATATGGAAAAGTAGTTCAAATACTCACTTTTGCCCTGTGCTCAACATTGGCCTTCCTGTCCAACAGCAGACTGACCACCTCTGCTCGGCCTTGGAAGCAGGCCAAGGTGAGGGCTGTGTTCCGATTGGTCTCAATCTGGGCGTTAATATCAGAACCCATATCGAGCAACAGCTTCACGGCAGGTACGTGGCCATTCATAGCAGCCAACATCAGAGGAGAAATACCTAGCTTACTCCCAGTCCTAGTGAGAAAGAAATAAACTGCAGTGCCCAGAACTGGTGAATGCTCTGAGAAACGCAGGTGTATCTAAGAGGAACAAAATGTTTCAAGGGAAGCCAAAAATGAACATTAATATATACAAACACAGCCACTCACCTGTAATACCAGCAATTTTGAATTGCTTATCAGAAACCAGCAGAGTAACCACATGCAACAAATAACTAAAATCTATGAACAAGTAAAATGTGTTTCAGCTTTTAGATGCTTAAGTGGCTGAAGAACACGCAAGTATTGAACTACATACAATCAAGGCTGCATCTGATTCAGGAACAGATGCTTCTAATATGCAGACACAGTTAAAGTTTTTCTAGTGACTGAAAGAACATTACTTTTCCTACAACTAATAGAGAGGAGCTTTGAGAGAAGTAGCTAAAATATATTTGGTCCTTCTGCTGAAAGTTTTCAAACAAGTACAAATAGCTGCCCTGTGCTTTGACTGGCTCATTTGCTTGGTTCTACTGAAAACTGCATTTGACTTCCAGATCACAGAAGGGTAGAAAAGGGAGAGAGAAGGAACAGGTTTGCAGACTACAGCGTCACTTAAAATTCAGATATAAGGATGATGAAGTTTGTCTGTGGTAGTTAAAGGTACCTTAATTAATGCTTTTAAGTTAATGTTAACATAAATAATAATGTTATTAATGTTAATAATGTTAACATAAATAACATCAATACTGTAGAAAGGCTGAAAGGAGCTCTGAAAGAACTACAGATTCCAATATATGACTCTGTAGAGTTAAAGACAACAACAGAGCATCTGTCCCACACATGGTTCATCTCAGGTATGTTACCTTGAATTAATTTCTGCTCCAGCATTGAGAAGAATCTTGATGATATTGACATATCCACCAGATGCAGCGAGGCTTAATGGTGTATAGTCAGACACATTCCTATGCTCTTTGTTTGCTCCCCGGGCCAACAGCAAATCAACAACCTGAAAAGACCAATGTAGAAAATAAATGCTTGTTCCTCTTGGGAGGAGACTAAAACTATCTACAGTTATTCAATTGAAAAAAAGCTTTTAGAAAAAAAAGAATTACTATACCATCAAAATAAAAAAACAACTTTTATTTACATTAAAAACTACCAAAAAATCAAATCCATCAAGGATAAACATGTCTGTACCTCTTGGCGTCCACCAGAGCATGCCAATGAAAGCGGAGTATCTTTTGTGCGCTCAGATTGTGCTTCTATATCCCCACCTTTGTCTAAAAGAATTTCCACTACACCAACGTGTCCAGCAGTTGCAGCAAGAATCAAAGGCGTAAAACCTAGTAAAAAAAAGATCATGTTAAAAAAAACTGGAGTACCTCAAAATTTTAATCAGAAGTATGCAATTTACAGTGATTTTTATTGCTCAGCTATATCTTTCTCGGATTGAGTATTTTCTGAGTAATGCCCAACACTATCAGACACTCTCCTACCCCCCTCCTGACCCTGACACTTGGAGACATACAAAGCATGACTCCTGCCAGCTACATTTAAAGGTTCATCAAAAAAAAAAAAACAAACCTGAACAGTACTGCACTGACCAATATGGATTAAGCTCTGACCAGTTCAAGTCTTTAAACAAGTCACTGCTTTCTACTTAATTCCTATTGAAGTTTCAAGAAGATAATACACATTCACTGCGCACACTGCTTACTTCCAGTGGCTAGCATGACTTCTGGGGAGAGAAGCGTGATGATTCTGTTCTCTCAGCTCCAAGGGAAAAGATTTTGCAGAATTTGACTATTGGGAATGACACAATACGCAGCCTGAGTCCTACTCCACATTAGCCTTGGCAGCTGAGATTTGATATTTACTCCAATCATAGAATCATAGAATCACAGAATTGCAGAGGTTGGAAATGACCTTCAAGATCATCAAGTCCAACCGCAACCTGACGACTCTAACAGCCCACCACCAAATCACATCCCTGAGCAAATTAGCAACTCTACCCAGAATACTAAGGTATTTTGTGGTGGGTTAACTGTAATGATAGAAGTGCTTTGTATTTCAAAAATTTGCCTTATATGCCATTCAGATAGATGAACTTCATTTCAAAAATATGGATAGAAACCGTACAGTATCACTAAGTGGCATACACATTTCCACATATGTACTAGAACTCTACATCTTTGTAAGCTTTGTACACTTTCAGAAGAAAAAGCTCCCAAATCTCTATTTGAAATATCATGTAGTTGTAGTTCTAAAGCAAACTTTTACTATTTCAGCTTACCCTTCTTATCTCTGTGTTCAATATTGGCACCACGTGCAATTAGTACAGAAACAAGTTCTTCGTGACCTCCTGCACATGCAAGGGTCAGAGCAGTGTCATGATTGCTTTCAGTCTGCATGGTTGAGAAAGAAAATATTCAAAAATTAAAGATACCTTAAGAGAGCTTTAGTATTTTTAATGCTGCTAGATTATTATTGTTCTTTTCAGAACTTATCAAAAAGAAAATCTAGTCAAAACTAATTGAAATTACTCACATGTGCATCGATGTCAACTGAAGGATACACAGGGAGCACTGACTGTGACACTACATTGCTTGATGCCTGTGAGCAGGGCTCAGGCGTAGGGGATTCTGTAGTGTGCAAGGAGCCAGTGGAGCCACTGGGCACTCTGCTATTCACAGCTGAAAAGCAACAATGCATTATTAGCCCACTCTTAGAAATTCTACATTTTATATGAGAAAGATTTAGTCCTGTAAAACTGCAACAATCCGAAGCCAAAATAGAAGTGGAGGAAAACAAATTAAATATTCCTAATAACAGACATCTTGGTATCTTGCTTAAAGAAGTTTTTCAGCAGTTAAATAATATAAGTATCATCTCCAAACTGTGTTAACTTAGAAAAATAATTTTATTAGTCACATTAGAAACATTATAAATTATGAAATTTAGTTATCCTTTTAAAATTCTATCTTCACCACTAAAGATGAATCATACACTAAATCTAAGCAGATGGATAATTTATCAATAAAATACAAACCTAACATTCAAAAATGAAGTATCAATCTGGAATTCAGAAGTTTTTCACTTGAAGGTTTTCAGAGAAAGTTTTTAAAGCAAGAAGAGTTGACAGCCACTTACACCTGTGAGCTACAACAACTAAAGAAAGGCAGAAGAGAGATGGAGGGGAGGGAAAGGGGGAAGGAAAAGGAAGTTGAAAACCATGTGCTGCCTAGGATTTATTTCTGATTGGTCACAGCCTTTGAAAGAGTTCCTCCTGAAGGTACATCTCAACTCAGGGACACAAGTATTTTAGTAGAGCAACTTAATATTTAAATTTAAAAAATAATTAAGAAGTTGAGAAAGTTTTTACATTATTTATTTTAAAGGTAAGAGCTGAAAAGCCTTAACAGATCAAGCAGAGATGACCCCTGCAATATGTATGCACGGGGATAAGGCCTTAGTATGCCCTTGTTAAACCAGTGAAAGCATCTGAGGGGAACTCCAACCAAAGGCTCTCATCTCAACTGGGGGTCACTTTCCAGGAAGGTCTAACGCACCAACTACTGATGCACTCTACAAAAAGTCCTGCAAAACAGCTGTATTTAACAAGTAACTTTTACTGCTGGAATGCCAGTTCCTACACTGTGCAGTCTCTTTAGATTGATTATTTAATTATCTTTAATTATTCCTAAGTATATAATGCATTGCATATTCCTGAAGCAAGCAACTGATGGAGAACATAAACTTCAGGTTATTTATATATATATATATATACACACACACACATAAATTTATATAAAAATATTTATATATCTATATATATATATAATAAGCAGCACAGTCTTGCTTTTGTCCAAATATTTCAAGTGACAAGGGGAGATGAAGGGTTAACTCAAATCTATGTATTGCCTACAAACCTTTCAGTGTGGCTGTGATTAAATAGTTCAGCCTTCACAATGCCATTAACAACACACACTGGCAATTATTCATACTTAAGCAGTGCAGATGGAAAGATCTCAGAGAAATCTTCAACATGACTAATACCACTAATGAAGCCTACTCATATTTGACTGTATGTGACAAAGGAAATACAGATAGGAGCAAGTTTTAGATGGGTCAGTTTAGCTGGGGAGAGAGCAATAGCACATGAATGGATGAATGAATGAACGGGGGGTGGGACATACAGACTTTGAGGTGACAGTTTTCCACTATATTTTTTAGAAGTCACTAAAGTGCTCTCCTTGGTCTACAGTTGTAAACAAGCATTAGCATTGGGCCACCACATTTCAGAGTATTCTTATCTGAATGCCAAGTTGACTTTTGCTTCACCTTACAACCTTCATGAAGAAATCAGGTTTGTGTTTTAAGTTTCAAAGTTCTCACACTTCATCTGCTTACTATGGATTACCACTAAAAGCAGCAGATGAGAAAAATTTATGTAATATGATTATTTTCCCCCTCCCCCTCAACACACTGATGTGCATTCAGATATTACTCAGATTTCTGAAGACAATTCCTTCCAAAATACGGAACACCATATCACCCATAAAGGACTAATTTCACTTTAAGTCAAGAAAGAGATTAACTCAATGCTTTCAAGTTCTGTAGCTACAGATGTGTATGGGCTAGTGATACAGAGCAGGTGTGTGCAGAGAGACCCTGCTGGTGCCACCTGAAGATTCCTTAATGGATCCATTCACTGCTGCTGACAGATTCAAAGAGTTCTCTACTTTTCATGGCCATAAATGAAAGTGTCAAAGTATTTCTTGAATACTTTCAAGAAATTCTCACCACATGCTTGATATAGGTGTGTGCCCTAAGCACTTCACTTCTCATAGCAACAGTAAGAGCAAATGTGAGAGGACACACAAAGGCAACAGAAACACAAACTGTCTCTATATATCACCTTTTCAAAAATACAATCTAAGAAGAGTTCTCCAGTAGCCAGTAGTTAACCCTCTCAACTACTGTATCCACAAAATTGCAGGATTTCTATTTCCCTAAGTTAATTTACACTTCCTTAGAATGTCTGACAAACTTGAAGATTTCTTAATGGAAGCATCAGTGGAGTTTGTGTTATGCAGTCAGACACAGCTCAGCACTTCTGCCCCCTGCTTCATACAGATGATTTAGTTCAATGAACAAGCAGGATTACAAGATATACAGATTTTAAACTGGAAGCATTATGTTGGAAACTTCATTGCAAGTTATCTTTGCAAACCTCTTTGTGAAACGTGAGTTAACAGAGTCTGGGCAGATACCCATTCCAGAGCCTGTTCCTCAAGAACACCCCCCTCTATCACCACACAGCAATTACCAGCCTTCCAAAACCCATCCCAGCAGAGGATGTCATTCTACTTGTGAATGCAGACTTTTGTCAGAGATGAAGCAGTACCTGTCCCCTGCTTTGGCTGGCACCAGGCCCATCAGGCATCACATAAACAGCTGGACATGGTCTGCCTGAAAGGCAACAGGGAAACTGCAGGGAACTTTCCAATGGCTAACTTTAGCAAGTTGTATTTACAAAACCAACAGCTAAAGCATGGTCTTCCCAAGTAGCAGCAACACCATACCTGGCCCAGATAACAGCAATTACTCTGGTCTCAGTAACCAGCATCACTGTCTCGACAGCCACATAGTGCACAGCACAGGAGCTCAAGGAGCAGAGGCACGGATGGATGGCAGTGCTTATGGAAAGACCGTTAGGAGAATACAAAACAAATGATCAACAACAAGATCACTTTCAGTGACTCCAAGTGACACTGCAGGGTTTTTAGTGGACTAGAAAATGTGCTGCTTTCACCTTTAAGACAAAAGCTTTTCAAAATGCAGTTTATTTCTAACAAGACAGATATTTCATGTTTCCACAAGAAAAGATGCCAATAAACAAGGTAGGAGTCAGGCACTGATTAAAAAAAATAAGTTAAAATCACTTTTCACAATGTGTAACTTCCATCTTGATAAAACATTTTGTGACATATGTGGATTTTTCTGTAGATACCTTAAATGACAAATGGCAAAATCCAATCTCCCCTTATTTTAAGATGGGCTTGCAGTTTTCCAAAGAGACTTTCTTTGCATCATGGTGAAGCTTAAGTCAAATCTCCGAAGACATAGATGATTATTATCCAAAGTTATGAAAAAATTATCAGAAGCAGCAGAAGTAAAACAAGCAGAACTTAGTATTATATCTTGGTACACCTTGTCAGACATTGATAGAACCTTAAGCAAACAGCTTCTGGATGCAGCCACAGCTGCAGCGTACCCAGAATTTGTAGAACTATTATGCACGTTCATGAATACTGGATTTGTATTTCAGTCCTGCTTTCCTCAGAGACACTGGTTTTTGGGACAAAGAAAACAATCTGTTTTCATGACAGAACAGTCTTTCTGCTTTAAGACTTCTCTAGGAGGTTTTAAATAACATGTTACCGTACACAGGCTTTTGCATAGGGGTAACCATGTCATGTTCTATGAGTCACTCTCTCTCACTCCAGCTAACCCTAGCAACTAGTTATACTCCAAACAGCAATCTTAAAAAAAGTAACCCACAAGTCACACCTTTAAAACAGCTCCCTTAAAATATTCCAATTCTATACAACCAACCACAACCAGAATTTCAGAACCAAATACAATTTAAGTGTCTTAAAACATCTGGAATTTCTGTAGATGAACCCCAACTCCCTGGAGGAGAGGCAGCCAGAAGCACTCAAATGCTAACGCCTGGCAAAAATCAGCACAGCAGAATAGGAATAAAAACATTTTTACTACACACAAAACCTAGCAACAAAGAAAGTACCTCACCTTGGATGTCCTAAAAAAAAAGTACCAATACATATACAGCAATTTAAGACATTTACTGAGGTAAACGTGCAATATGAACAGCAATGAAACTGCAACAATGCAAAGCGAGATGCACAAGAACCCAAACTTGTACTGAATAATGAAAACTGAAGTGAAAATTGTGCTCTCATGCTGGAAGACGTGATCCAAATTTATTGCTTTCCCACTCTAAACTGTACCACGTCAATTTTTTTTTTTTGTAAATCAGATTTAAATTTTGACTGCATGTTACACCTTTAAAGACCAAATTAGGCATTCATTGTAAAGTTTTCCTTTATGACATCTAAATAAATTCCATTATAGCAAAAAAGAGTTGCTTCATTTTAAGGTTTTATATGACTTTACAGATATTACTAACTTACTTCTGCGCAGATCAGGTGCAGGCTGAGCAGTTTTGTGAAAGAAGGGACTCAGGTTACCTACCAGTGATTCTGACTGCCACCAAGATTTTCAACACTTTGTACCTTACCATCAACCATCTCATCTACCAGTTATTCTACTAGCGGACATGATGCAGGAGACAAGATACTCCATTTGTGTAGGCTGTCACAAGAAAGCTATGTGGCAAAATAAAGATTCCGTAGAAATGTAAGGCATCCCCTAGAACCAGTCTGAGCTGAAGCCTGGAAAAAAAAATGCTTTTTTTCCATTGCCACTGGTAAGAGCAACAATAACAGTTATTTCAGTGCATCGGACAAAAGCTGATTTAACATCTCTGTTCTTCTAAAGCAGACTTAATACAAACTGGATACTCAGTAGGAATAAAATTATTATCTCTTCTAAATCAAGTGTCACTCACCACCATTAACATAGATCATAGAATCCTTAGAGTTGGAAGGAACCTCTGAAGGCTGTCTGGTCCAACTCCCCTGAAATGCACAGGAACATCCACTGCTTCATCAGGTTGCCCAGGGCCTGAACCAGCCATGGACGGGGTATCCACGACATACATCATAGGACAACCTGTGCCAGTGCCTCACCACCATCACCGTAAAAGACTTTTTCCTTATATCTAAACTAAATCTCCCCTCCCTGAGCTTGAAGCCCTTTCCCCTTGTTCTATTACCACAGACCCTGCTAAAGAGTCTGTCTCCATCTTTCCTGCAGCTGCCCTTTAGATAATAAATTCTTAGGGTCACCTTGCAGCCTTCTCTTCTCCAGGCTGCACAGCCCCAGTAGATCCACCAGCAATACTGCAATCGAGGGAGATATTTCACAGGCAAACCAAATTCTGAGTCAGAGAGAAAAGAGGAGTCTTCCCGTGCACCAAACACTTAGCCCCTTTCATAATAATTTTAGCCAGTGTCTATAGTTTGCTTAAAAAAAAAAAATCAGGCTTTGTGTTTTTTATTGCTCATTATTTCCTTATCAAATTAATCACTAAGATAAGTTTGTGGGAAAAGATCAGGTCTCTTTCAAACACAGACCAAAGAATTTGGAAGATTTGTTAGATTTACAGTTTGTTTTTAAATAGACATAAATTTAAGTTTAGGCAGATGATGATTTAACCTATGCCTGGGATTTAAATTGAAGAGAATTATCTAAATGTCTCTCAATGTTTTTGCAGTTTTTTTTTTTAATGAAACAAATTTCTGAATTTTGGAACGAAGCAAAACAATAGCAGTATTTTTGCAGATGCATCTGGAATTGGGACAGCTAATGTTTCCTTGAGTTGCATTTCTTTAAAAAATGATAAAAAGAAAAAATAAAAAAATAAAAATTTTGAATAATTTTAGGAGTGTGTGCTATTTGCACCTACTTCTGAAATGAGATTAGGTTTATCCTGCAAAAACAGCAAGCAAATCAGAAAACCAAAAGAAAGCAGCACTTTTACTCTGAAAGGACCTACAGTCAAGATATTTCTATTCAAACATTTTTTCATTAAGAAAAAACATTTCTTTCTGCCTGAGATTTCCCCTCTCTACAAATAGCGTACAGTTGAGTTTATTTCATTTCTTATGTTATCAGTGAATGAAAAGACGATGTGAATTTTTTCGAAGAGTATATTGACAAAATCCTCGACAAGTCCGTTACTAGCCTAAAACGGAATTAGAAGAGTTGATTACAGCAATTTTTCATTTTGGGTAGACTGACTATTTAGTATATAACACACAGCTACTAAGCTTTAATAGTATATACTGCATGGTCTTCTGCTAGATATGTTTTCAACTCTTCGAAACAGTAACTATTTCAAAGATTGAATCCTTGATGATTATTTGTTTGAAATAATCTTTGAAGTTCTCTTCCTTGCACTGCAGTTCCAAATCTTGAGAAATATTATTTCAGAATGATCCAATTGCCTTTTTTTTTTTTTTTAAAGCAGCCTGACTACTCCCAAGAACACCCTAGAACAGCAGGGAACTTAAACCAGATACTCTAAAAACAGGAAAACGTATTTGAATTAAAACCACCTAGATGAGCGGAGCTACATCACAGCTGTTGGATCGACTGAGTTTCCAAGAAAGGCTGCATAGCTGCAGTGAGCCTCAACTCACATGATCTCAATTCTGGTTATCACCATTCTAAAAGCTCACAGGACTTGTTACAGGAAAGTCTTACCACACATTTCTAAAACCTTGAAACAAACTTCAGGGGACAGGACAGTAACTATGAAGAGGGGAAAACAAGACAGGAAAATAAGGGCTGAAGGGACAGACACAAGGTAAAAAGTAAAAAAAAAAATTATAATAATAATAAAAAATAAAAAAATAAAAAATAAAAACAAAGAAACAACCCACTACAGACCAAACAACACCGGCTATGCCCTGCGCACCTCCAGCAGTGAACACAAATCCTAGTCAAATACATGAAATGAAGTCAACAAAAATGGTATCTCTATTTCACAACAAAACTCACAACCTAATGCATGGGAACTTCAATTCCTCTTCATACCATCACATACAAGTGGAAGAATGCTTTGATTTTTTCCTTCTCATCCAGATAACGGGACACTTTTTTTTTTTTTGCTATGTAATATGTAATAAGCAAATATTCCTGCACAACCACAGTTAAAGATGTATTCTGAAAACAAGCCACTACAGAATTAAATGATTGTGCATGGATTCCAGATTGCATTTAAATTGTAGCAACACTTCCAGCAGAAAGAAGAGGAACACATTTGTAAATCCAGTGAAGGTGGTTTTTTTTCAGAGATGGGCTAATATACTAAATATATCCACTGTGGTTATAAGCCTGTATGAAAAATTCTACAGAAGACAGAAAAAAAAAAGCATCATGTTTTTAAGTTTCCTAGTGGGCACTACTATTCACAATTAGGCTTTTTAAAGTAGCATGGAAAAAGATAATGCCAGAGGCTATAATAAGTCTCCAGTACAGGAGAAGAGATTTTTTGTTTGTTTTGTTTAAAAGTCTCGTGTTAGAACTGGAAGTCACTATTAGGATTAATAGTACTAATCAGGAACTTTATGCATAAACAAGTACTGCCAAACTGGAAAACCTCAAGATGTTTTTGGAGGGAAGGAGAAAAGGGAAACTGAGCACACAAATTAATGCAAACATAGGTATATTTCTTAACCCACCTGCTATTAGGTCATCAAGAGTGTCGGTAAGCGTCTGTGCTGGAGTGGCAACCATTAATCCGTCTGGTTCTTGAACTAACAGTCCCTGCCCAGCAATTTGCTGCTGCTGTCCTACATTCTGCTGATTACCTATTGCTTTCTGAAGTTCAAGAGACTCTGTCCCATTATAACCTAAATTACCAGAAAAATTACACTGCGATGCTGGCAAAGGCTGGATAGGGACAAATTCTATTTTTTCAGCAGGTGGTGGAGAATGTTGTTGCTCATCATCTTTTGACAAGATTGTGTCAACCTGAGGTAACTCTGAAAAGTTATCCTCTGGCAGACCCTTATCAGCTTCCACTTCTGGGAAGACCCCGGTAAGTGGGCACTGCTGCTGTAGGGGAAGTGGTGTGTCTGTCTGACCTTTGGTCTCCAAATATTCTTTGGTAAACTGCTGTTGTGTTTTCATCTGCAACTGCCTTTCCACCTTCTGTAGCTCCTTCAATATTTTCTTCTTCTTCTGTACTTGTTCTTCTCTGTTCTTTTTAAGTTCTTCAATCTTATCTTTATTTAAAGGTTCACCTTGAATTAATTCCAATGACTTAAGTTGTGCTTTTTCAATAGCACTAATTCTCTGTCCAAGTTCATTCAGCTTGCCTTCAGTCTCTTCTACTATGCATTCCAAAGGCTGGTATGGGTGAAAAGGTGGCAGTAGGTCCTTATCTGCTACCTGCAGGGAACTTGACTTCTGCTTGGATGCACCTAAGCACATGAAAAATGTTTGAAAAAATGCCATGCTGAAGATACCCCAAACCTCCCCCTTTCACCCACCAAAAAAAAAAATAATAATAATATTTAAAAAAAATTAAAAATGTTTAAAACTAACACCGCACATCCTTCAAACCATAGTAAGGTAAAACCCTATGCTCTACATTAAAACAGAAAGGAAAAAGCAAAGCAAATAGCTGGAACTTTTAGTATGGATTCTAGCATTCCCTTGAATACAGCTGCTTTAATCTTTAGGAATAAGGAACCTTTAAGATATCTGACACACGTGACAGTGCATCTTGGAAGTAAAATCAGGAAGAGGGAGGCAGTTAAAAACAATCTGTTAAGTTCTCAATGTTGTTCTGGTGTGCAGAGCAAATTAAACTAAGACTATTTTCTAGAAGCTAACTTCCAACAGCAAAGTTACAAGCAAAAGCACTCTACTTTTGAAAGAAAAGTAGCTCTACAGTAACAGTAGTATTTTGAACTAGTTTACCAAAATGCTGTAGCGTTCCACCTTCATATTACAAACAAAATACAGCCAATGCAAACTAAATATATGCAAATGCATTTTAAAGCTTTGGCACACCTTTAAATGCTCAACAGAAAATTGGCACCTTCCCTGACTCCCTCTCCGCAGTAACAAAGGAGCAATTCTATTCACTATTAGGGCTCAAAAATCTTCAATCCAACAACATACCATGCCAGTGCACAGCTTCTATCAATGCTCACAAGGCACTGCCTCCATGCAGCACAGGCTGCTGTCATGGAAGTCTCATATAGCAGCAGCCAGATCTTGCTAACACTTCAGTGCTTATATTTTAATTATTACTTCAGCTAAAGATAGTTTCATTACAAATCTGAAGGACTTAGCTGGACCAAATAACTTTCTGCAGTTAACACTCATTTGCTATACCTAAAACAGTAATACATGCGCTTTAAAAAGCAAACATCTTGAACATTTACAAAGCAGACTAGCACATCTCAGCATGAAGGGAACTACCTAAGAAAGTAGTTACTTAAAAATTATACAGTAAAGTGGAAATATGGATCCAAGAACTAAGTTCCACAAACTCTGGAAGGATTAAATTCCCTAAAATACTAATTTATTTTTCTCTGGATCTTCTTTCACCAAAATATTAATTTACAACTGATTCCATTTTACACTGCTCTGAAAAAAGAAGCCTACACACTGCATACACTGCAATTTTTTTCTCTAATTAATTGAATAAACAAACAGGAGTGAGGATTTTGTTATAAAGAGAAAGTAATAAAATAGAGTTGAACCAACTCTACACTGAATACTTTCACCAAACAGAATCTCTGAAGTGAAAGCAACACCTCATTCTATCTAACCTCAGCATTCCAAAAGCTGTATGTGTGCTAAATACCAAAATACTAGGTACACTGAGACAGATCCCCTCACTGAACATTTTCTCCCATTTAGTTACTCTATGTCACTGCCATGTACTGAAGGATCAGTACTTCCAGCTTAACACACATTCAAAACTTTTCTGCTGCTTTGTCTCTGAATCCTAAATTTCAAGAGAATCTCTCTGGAGAGAATAAAAAAAGTGAAGCTCAACAATAACCAACTTAGTGGACTAACTGGTGGATACTCAGCTCAAGAATATTATAAGCTTTTGGCTCTTTGGCCCTGTAGCACTTGAGCTTTACATAGTTATCTTTTTGTTTTAAAAGCTGAGATTTAATTTAAAAAGATATAATATAATTTGAGACCACCATCAAAAACATTTAACTCACTAAAATTATGTAAAATGTTTTTCTACATTTCTGTTAGATTCTAATAAAAGGGGTTAGCTGGTGCTTTGAAACTTAAGCTGTTCTATCACAAGTTCTCTTAATTAGCAAAAACATTTTACTAAGTGTAACTTAAGACACAGCTGAGAAGGGGATGCTTCACACTGCTCTTCTTACAGTCGTTCCTAAGATTACTGTATGTACCACCATCATAACACAAAGCATTCCCATGACTTCTGACAGTTCTGGACAACCTCCTTCACTCGACAGGAAAGAAAAGCTGCTGTTCAAAGAGCCCCCAGATTATGAAGTATCAGTACTATCCCACTCAACTCGTTCCCACCTGAGTAAAAAAACAAGCCTTGTCATAGGAAAATCTTACTAAAAAAATCAAGATAAACTGAAGAGCCAAAGCCGTCCTACGTGTAGATTGGGCGTTTCCAGTCTGTGCTGAACAAGAGACACAGCGCTGGTCTCATGAGAAGCCAACTATCCTAACAGTGTCTCAGATCTGGAACAGGCTCTGACAGTTCAGACAGCTTTTGAAAACAGAATTTAGAAAAATCAGGATAGCCTACAGCATACTGCTGGGCAGACTGCACATAGATATGGACACAATGCAAATGAACATCCAGGCTCTTCAATTCCAAAAAAGGTGCAGATATGTACCTTAATCAGCTTCCAATTAGTCAGTGAGGCTGCCTTATGCGTTCTAAATCACTATTTCTATACCAGAAAATGCTTGCCATCTATGATCTTGGGGATAAAGGAACAGCATGAGGAATTGGAAAAAAGATTTGCTGAACTCGACATTCTCATCATAACAACCTGTTCAAGCCAGAGCTGGAGAGGATGCTATTGGTAACTTTGAAAGCATAAGCACTGGGGAATACTAGAAGTATTGAAAGGCAGTAATTACCTGGTTTTACTCAAATCTCTTCTACGTACTTTTTACATCCTGAAAAAACACTGTGTCCATTTTAGTATATGCTTTTGAACAAAACACTATTTTATACCCTTGCTTTTGAAATACTTAAACACAGGTAAGAATTAAAAATCCAGTCAGGTCAGGCCATAATTACTTCAACTTACATATACAAAATAGATATGTTTATATACACATATATTTTATCTTTTATATATTTAATATATATATTTTAGTGTAATATAAATCTATAGAACCAACCTAATACAAGACTAAACCCAGGAATACTAAGCAGCCCTGGTTTCCACATCAATTATTTTGACTTCTTTTAGAAGACCTTTTTGGTACAAAATGAATACAGTGAAAGCTCAGATGTTGCTGTACAACCACCACCAGCTATCAGTCAATCAAAGTTGTGGGAAAGAGAATCACTCAGCTGACAAAAGATCCAGGGTGGTTACGGGCACATGCAACAGGGGAAGGAAATAGTTCCTCCCTAATTTACTTTGTGAACAGTGGCATCCATTTATTTGTAGCAACTCTTTGTTGCTCTGTATTTCCACAGGCTCTGGACCCTAACCTTATCAGTTTAGCCTTTACCATCACTCCTACATTCACCGTCTTGCTTGCTGCCTCACACCCCTCTCTTTTCACAGCTGTTTTTTGACCACCATTCACCACTCAAGTAAGACCTCCTCTGTACAAACATGGCCTCCCATTATTTTCTGAATTCCTACAGAAATGTGAATTTGAAGTTTCTTACATGTCTACTGTGTTCAGCACGTTGCGGAGAATCCTCTAGGTACCTAAACTGATTCACAGCACTGTATTCATCCATGTGAGTATGCTCCAAACTCCATCTCTGAACTCTTGAACATCCAATAATATAAAGTGGAGAACATCACTAGCAACTTTAATATATTTATCATTTGTTTCATTTTCTAAACCGACTTCTGACAGCAAGGAATATTTAAAAGTCTTAGGCGTTGTGAACAAGAGTTCAGAAAAACAGCCTTTATGTTTAATTGCTTAGGAGAGCTGAGGACTACAAAATCTCCTGACACAACCTCTCTCCATAGGGCTGATGCCAGTGAACAAGCCAGATACTATATCTCCTTCCTAGTACTCAAGATTCTGTAGGAACTCTTCTAGTCCTGCCACCTGGTCTATATGATGGCTTACTTTTCCAAGAAAGTAATTGACTTGTTCTTTCACAGGTAATTAATTAGCACAAGAAAAATGCTACCTGTCCAGAATGAACCTACACAGAACCACTCTAACTGACTAATCAGTCTGTTATTAGCTGTGCCATCTAGACTTGTTAACCCCCTTCTCATTTACAGTAATAGCACAGGCAGACACTTCTGTCTTCTGCAAGTTAAAGGAAGTGTCCAGGACACAAGGTAGACATACAACTCTCTCACACAAGCAAAGCCTAGTTTCTACACAAAAAGCACTGCTGATAAACTGGTAAAGACAGACATACTGACAAAGCACTTCTAAGCAAGCAACCAAAGTTGAAGAAAATCAATACTTGATCTTTAAACTGTTTCCAGAAAAATATGAAGACCAAAAGTTTGTTTTTTATAATCCACTATGCTCTTCAGGAAGTTTTTGTCAAAGCAATTGCTAGTTAGCCCTGCATTTCACAGTAGTGGTTTTCATCTTGGCCACCACCAGCAGTTTCACTCTGCTCTACTTTTTACTCAATGAAATTCTGGGGTTTGTTGACAGGTCCCTCATTTCAAAAGTTGTAAATGAAAACAAGTAGATCAAAACACAAACAGTTAAATTCCAAACATTTTCTTGACATAAGTGACAACAAGAAAAAAAGTTCAACTGTGATGCACATTCAAATACACTTTCTTCACTGAAGCCAATATCTAGTCTACAAATCTGTATTGATCTTCCTGATAATATAACCTAGAACTAAAAAAAAAAAAAAGAATTTGTCTACTATTATTCTTGCACTTCAGCATGAAAAAAAGGAATGTTCAGGCCTTGTTTTGTTTTTAAACTGAACTTTAGAATTAGATTTGCAGTCAGTTTCAACAGGAATAGAATGAGCTCAGTATTGAATTTGCAAGAATATTCTGCATTAACTACTGTAATTCATACAGGAAAAAAAAATCAGTTCCAAGACCACAGGGAAATAAGCAGCCAACCCACATATACAAAGTAAAACATTATGTAATTGGGAAAGATATATTTAATTCTTCTATAAGAACAGGATGATTCAAGGAGTGCTGAGCATTCAAGTGAGTTTCTATTCCACTACATTCCTCTTGTAAACCACGTAGAATTTTCGCCTGTCACTCCTGCATCTGTTTCTATAGAAAACTTTCGGTGCAGTGATTACATGGTTGAAACCAAACCACAATCTAATCAACCTCAACTCAACTTTTGACTTTTGTAAGTTTTGGTTACCTTCCAACCTTAGTCTTCTCGCCTTCTTCCAAAGGAGGTGGTGGTTGGTTTTTTTGTTTGTTTGTAGGTTTGTTTTTTTTTAAATGGGCTTGATGAAATCTAAATGGAAAATTAATACCACGTAATTAAATTAGCAGGGGCAGGCAGGCAACTGAAGCTTCCGAAGAACAGAATTTCACAAACCTTTGTAAAAATATTTTTAATAAATGTGTGATCTTGGGGACAACTGCCTGTTTTCTACCATCTGCCTGCTGTGCTGAAGTCATATGAAAGAGTATCAAGTACATAAGTCAACTAAAAATAGTAGTGAAGTTAGCAAACTATTTCCTTCTTGTTTTAATTTCAGGATAGCATACTACCTATATAGAATTATCCACCTTTATGGGCACACTGTCCTTTAGGATCTTTCAATAACTCACAATAACACAATGCGAGTTCAGTATATAACTCAGAATTAAACAGAGAAGTCATATATTTGAGTAAAAACATTCAGTGATTTCATAGCAAAGACGACTTTATTTAGTTTTCTTCTCCATGACATTAGATTGTTAGTAAGATTTAGCATGAGGATACAGGGAAAACCATACACTGAAGGTCTAACTTAAAAAGCTTAAAAATTCCCAACCTATTCAACTTCTAGAGTGTTCTGACCTCCTTCTCAGGGACAAAGGGCAGATGTGGACAGCTTTCCTGCAAACTACAAGTCTGCAAACTCTGGTGAATTCTTGATAAATAGATAAGCAAACTCTCCAAATAAGAAATGCTGCAAGTCACTCTCTACTTAAAAACAACAGCGGAGAAGTTGAATGTCAGCATGTTGACACCTTTTGAGTACTCATTTATGGCCAATTAGTTATTTTGTAACTAGGATTTCACATTAGCTATGAAGTACAAGAAACCTGGGAAGAAAAAAACCAACACTTAAGACCACTGACAGCTCTTCCAAAAAAAAAAAATTAAATCAACACATTTAAAAATATCTTTCTTCAGCTCAAATATTGTAACTAAGAAAACAATAGTGCTGCTCTCCATGGAGTTCCTGAGCATCCCTTTATTTTACTAGTGCATTGCTTTTCAATGATGTTCTAAAAACATGTTGTGGGTGAGAGGCAAAGCACTCACCAAGCACATTCTATGAGAGATGAAGGCAGGGCACTGCAGAACAGAACCATAACAGTCACTGGGAGCTTTGGGTCCCACTCTTTAACAGGAGCTTGCATTTACAAGCTATGCAAGACTATACTGTATACTCTGTAGTATTGTCAACAATACTACAGAGACTATTTTCTTAGGGAAATGTAATAGCATTCCTTTTCAAGGATTTTGTACATTGGAATGTTGGAATGGCCCACAATTTGAGGTAAACAAGAAAATTTTAAAGGTGCACCTAAAATTCCAAACCCAGCCTGAAGACATTTGCAGCTTCCAGTAAGTGGGCTTAGCAGCTCTCACAGCCACGTGAAAATGACACACACCATTTCTGAGCACCACAGTATGTTTGCAAGGGAGTGGGAAGAGCAACCTTTCCTAATAGGAAAAGAATTAAGCCAGTGAGGATCAGACAGTGCCAGGTGGAACAGTTCATAAAAGGTTCTTTAGTCACCCACTCTACCCCATTTGCCTTGCAGGAATCCAACCTGCCCAGTGCCAGAGCTGGGGAGCAGGAGGGAGAAAGCATTCGGTAGCTGCAGAGTGGCTGGCACTAGGTACAGAGATCCACTTCTTGGAGCTACACTGCTGCCCTGCACTGTGCTCCCAGCCTGTCAGGGCTGCAAGCAGCAGGAGAGATCTGTCATTCCATCATCACAGAAATACTGCACTCCTCTTTATAGTGGCAATGCTATCCTTGTGGAGCTGCATCAAAATTACTGCTTTCTGCAGAGCAATTCAGACTGCATTCAAGAGAAGACAACAACAGACAGACACAAGGCAAGCAAAACTACACCACAATTTCCCTCTCTCATGGACATGCTAACCACATGCTAGAAGCACGCTAACAACCACCTTTCCATATTACATTAGTCAAGCTCTTCTCAGTACCATGAACTAAAATCCTGCTGCTTTGACTTCCTCATCAATACCAGATTACCACCTTTCCATATTATTCTTATCGCCTCTCTAGATCCTCTCTCAGAAATCATTTTCTTTTCAGTTGCTAAACATTGAAATCAAGTCATTTGCCAGAACACTCCATTGCAACTATTCCGTAAGCCTTCTCACTAAAGTAAGGATAACACTGTCAAACAAAATTAATAAGTTCTTGGAGAGTCTCACAGCATATTTAACCCATAATGATAATACACAAGCGTATTCTAGTTTTACACCTGACTTCCCAAGAACTCTTTAGGAAATGAGTTGTTACCACTACATTTTTTGCAAAACTAGTCTAAACACCAAACTGAGGTTAAAAAACTAGGTGTTCCTCTCCTTCCTCCACAGAAGCAAGTCTGCAGAAAAACCTTAGGAAACTGTTTCTAAGTCTGCAGGCAAGGAATTTGTCTTCTCCAAAGTAAGTACTTGTTACATAACAATTTTTTTTTTCCCTTTGGAATTAGTGAATATTCTTTTATTTACACTCTCTTATCTTTCAACTCCCAAGTCTAACAGTGAAGTCCGTGTGTGTCCGAAGACAGGAGCAGAAATTCAGCAAATGCCAAGTTCTCAATTACAGTTATAATAACAAAGGGGTACGATTATAATGACCACACAGCATTTAACGCAGAAATACTGACTTTTCCCTAAAGATTTTAGGGGCACAATAACTTTAGACACAGAACTCTTAATTAGCGCAATGGCACATTTCAAATCTCTGTATCTCTCGAAACTCATCACAGACTAGTTTGGCTGACACACACAAAGCACATACTGAAATACTGCTAACTATTAGATCTCTTGGTAATGGTTTCAGCAAGACAGTACTGCTAAGAACATGCCTAAAATATGAATTGACATCTCCTGTCGTTTTTTTTTTTTCATGAGTTTTATTTCTTAAGCTGCATGAACTATCTGCATCTCAATTTGATTAAATAACAGACTTGAAATTTATAACTTCAGTCTTCTGACACAATCAACTGCTCTCTCTTTGACTCCGATGCATCATAGGCTGCGTTTCCAGAACGCTAGCCTACTTAGTAGTACTAAAAATTAATTTTAAGGGCACATGTAAGCACATAGTTTTTGCTGCATTATTTAAAATAGAAGTGGCACATTCTTACATTCTTTTGGTCCAAAATAGCAGTATTGCACATCCTACACAGTGACTGTATTTACACACACAGTTACACACACAGCACATATGCACAGAGAAAATCAAGGTTATACACTGAAACATTAGGTACACTTTTTTCCCCCCTGCTAGTTACTTGTGCCCCTGGCATTATTGTTTGCTTGTTTTAGGAAATCCTGGAATGCTTTCAGAATAAACAAATTAAATAAAGCTATCTAAGAGCTTTGACTGCTGTAGCATTTAATTTCCTCAAACTCCAAACCAGAATTCATAAACTAAATCATTCGAAGTTGCAACTTTCCACTTAACAATGTGCTTCACTTTCTGAGCTTGCTTAGAAGTAAAGCTTTCTAAAACAATCCATAACTGGATGGCAGTTTTGACATTTAATGACTGCAAATAAGTTTTAACCAGTAAGTTTAAGCACATTCAAAGCAAAAGCCCTAATTACTTACAATAAGAAGAAAATTATAATTATTATAATAATTATAATAATAAGAAAACTCGTCCTCTGCTAAGTAGATCTGCATTGGCATTTTACAGCTTGCTTTACAGCTTAATGTTTGCACTGCTACTTTAAAAACAGGAATAAGTTGATATATCAAGTTCGTGGATAACAGTAACTATTCTAAATGATCAATATTCAAAAACATACCTAGAGTTTATCAGTCTGGACTACGGAAATCATCTTCCAAAAAAATGAGAATAAGCATGCCCAGTGCATAACAGAATAAGCATAACCAGTGCTATTATATGATAGTATACAAGAAAATTAGTAACAACTACACACTACATGAAATACTTTTATATTCAAATCATATCTTCAATACAGGCGTACAGGAATTGCTGGAGCAGACTATGATATGCATAAGCACTCAGATAATATCCCTTAGCCTAATATTTTCCAAACTGCATGTATTTTCTGAAGGGCTGCATACTAACCTTTCACCACTCCCACAAGAGGTGGAGAGTTCTCTTGAGGGGTTCTGTCAGGTTCCTGGGGAGGTACAACCATAGCAAGTGTATGCACCGGAACACGTGGAACCTTAAAATAAAACCACGCAGTCAAATTAAAAAGCTCCTCAACTGACACAGTCATGGAGCACGAAGGTAGTTTTCTACAGTAGGCTTCCATTCTACTGTTCTTAAAACATCTATGCCGTTATTTCTTGGTATAACCACCCAAACCTAATCTATTGTGAATATCACATCAGTTAGCTGTATGACTCTTTACTAAAACCCTGGATGGTATAAGTTGGAAAACTTGTCAACATTTTTAGCTTTTTAATCAGCTAACTGCATTGGAAACGTACCTCTCAAACAACATGGTGAGTAATAAATTTACACGGTACAGTCTCTTTCATATAACAACCAGAACCAGCAGGAAAATTTAAGAGGCATTGTCATAGTGGTTCAGAGCTATAGAAACAAAATACTTAGCAAATGCAAACAAAACAATACACTTTTGAGATATTAGGTTTGGGACTAGCCTGCTTAAGGAGCAGAATACAAGGCAGTTCATGCACTGCAGACAATTCCAATCAACTTCCTCACATTGCTATTTTCAAATGTACAGTCTTTTCCTCCTCCAAAGGAAACTTTTATTTGAAACATTCACTGCGGTGTTTAAAATACCTGAGTCTGATCCTGAGATGGAGGTGTGATCTGAGACAAGTCTGCTGAAGGAACTGGCAAAACGTTGTTTGGGTAATCCAGCAAGTAAGAAACAACATTTGTATGTCCTCCTTTGGCAGCTTCAATGAGCATTGTTGAACCATCCTGAATTGAGAAATATGGGAAAAAAGTCAGAAGATGGATTCTGCTCTATGGTATGCAAAACATGAATTAGTCCAATTAAAATTGCACATTTTTTAATACACTGAAGCAACCACATGGTTGTTTTAGTACATGCAGTACCCACAATAAAAAAGCACTTTCAAGTGGATACCTTGAGTCGATGAGTAGGATCTGCACCATGAGCCAGAAGGAGCTCAACTACTGCCAAGTGGCCTCCTGCACATGCCAGAGACACCACTGTGTGGTCATTATTAGCTGTAGCCCTATTGACATTGGCACCTGCAAAGAGAAAAAAAACCGAGAATTAAACACTAGAATATTTTTATTAAAATATCAACAGGTGCTGGAATATTTTCTGGAATAAAGATAACATTTTTCTTCCAATCATCTAAATTCATACATACTTCTGAGTAAAAGCAAGAGATTTTAAATAAACTAATGGCTTGTATACAGAACTGTCACTATCTGAACAACATAGAAATGAAACAGTAACAGAGGGCCTCATAGGTGATAAGAGAAGGTGTGCTAAAAGGCATTCATTCTAACCACTTGACAGTACTACTGCATGGCGTTATTTCTCTTGTTCTAGACAGTACCTTGAGGCTGATGGTTTGATTTTTTTCTGGGGGAGTGTGGGTATTCTTTACTTTGGCTTTTTTTGTGAACCTGAATATATTTGCCATAATCCAAAACTATTTCTTGATCTATACAAAGGAGTTGGGAAAAAAAAACAGCAAAATATTCTGTGATTCGTTTTTACCATATACAAAATGAAATTCAGAAAATCCCTAACAGCCTAACAAGGGTTCATATATACATAAGACTAACCTACACGATGACAAATGCTGGAATTTAACTGGCATTTTATATTTTAAGTTTTAATACCAATTTCTTAAACTAATATTTTACCTTTGCTAATAAGGAATTGCACAGTGCATAAATGACCAGCTCGTGCAGCCTTCATTAGTGGGGTTCTCCCCCCTTCAGATTCATGTTCCTGTTGTAAAAAAGAAATAATAGTGTTGTGTAAATGAGTAAAAATTCTAACGTTGTTTCAGCTCACGAATGACCTTGTGATGGGACCAGAACTATCAGTCTCTGAAGATCCACCTATCTTCTTAACTGACTGGAATTAATTTTCTGAGAACTGATGCAGCATGAAACTTCAGAACTGAAATAATGTTCAAACTGCAGAAAACCTTTTTATGACGACACACTGAACATGATTAGCAATAAAAGTTAGACAATTGCCTCTGCTGCTTTTTCTTGATGGATCCTTCATTTCAGGTCATAAAGTCTCTGAATAAAAGGACTTGAAAAGAAAACTCAAGAGTGACAAAAGGATGGCTTCAGCTTCACAAATGGCACAAAATAACAAAGAAGGATAGACCAATAACAACAATTTTCTGATTTAAAAAGCTTCTGACAACTGGAAATATATGGTTCAAGACAGCTGTATTAGAGAAATTAGAGTCAGAAAATCTGCCTGTTAGGTGGACATGATCAATACCACAAAGAATACTGACTAACACACATCAACTACTCCATTGCAATGAGGTAAGAGAATACTATCTTCTTGGGAGTCTGAATTTGCACTCTTCTTATTCAGTCTGATTGATATTGCAACAAAAACAATAGAAAATGTGGGGTTTTATGTTGTTTTCCTTTTTAATTTAAAGTCCAAGAAGCCAAACTCTAAACATATAATTTAAACCTAGAATAGCACACACATTCAAGTGTGAAAGTTAACATTTGGTACCGAGAGGGAGTTATATTACTATTTACAAATATAAAAGGACAAGAATATATTTGACAGAAACTAACTACTTCTCTTAGTTTTCTGAAGAGTCTGCATGTCCTTTGATACATAGCTGATGGCAAACCTACACCTTAAGTTATCTTTCTGTTTGTACGCTTCATAGGCTGAAAGAGACCTCAAAGGAACATGAGGTCCAAACTTCAAAGGGAAAAGGGAGCCTAGCAGACTATCCAGGAGAATAAATATCCAACAGAATAAAATTGCCAGAAAAACAACCAATAAGACTTCTGAATGTAGAATAATAGAACATAATGCCACTGAAAAAATGGCAGTGAAAATGACATGAAAGCAATTTTCTTGTATTTCAGTCAATATATCCGATACAGCTACTGATGGGCCTGATGATGGCTGGTCAAGAGGGACTTATAAAAATTAATAGAAAATGACACAATTGCCACCAGCAACTCATATTTCATGAAAAACCAATGCATCCTACCCTGAGAAAACTTACGCATGACAGCTTTAAAAATGGATAATGTTGTGGAAATGGTCAAAGTTATAAATGTCATAAGACCGAAGGACTGAATGATCGCCAGTTCCCGGGGTTCTTTAAAAATATGGATGCTGATTATGGAAGCATCATTTACTTTTCTGAAGTAAGATGGCTAAGTAAGGGTAAAAAGCTAAAAAGATTTCACGCTTTGAGAAATTAAATCAATAGAATCAAAAGGAAAATTTGTGCCAGATCCTGGAAGATGAAGAATGGCTCACAGATTTAGCATTTTTGGTGGATTTGACTGCTCATTTAAATGAATTAAGCATGTGTCCTTGAGGTGATAAATCAACTGATCTGTGCTATGCTTCAAATCACAGCAGCATTCCAAATGAAATTATGGCACACTTATGTTACGGCAAAAAATTTTATGCATTTTAATACATTGGCTAAACAAAGTCCAGTGATCAGAGAAAAACACACAACCTTACTTTCAGTCTTGATAAAAGAATTTTAGAATAGGTTTCCCCATTTTAAAAAAATCACCAATTTTTCAATATATTTGCAACTTCATTTTCAGTTGGAATACATTACCTGCAAACTTTCAAATGAAAGATATTTTACTTTATTAATGATCTTGACAAGGGGACTGAGTGCAGTCTCAGTAAATTTACAGACAACACCAAGTTGGGAGAGAGCGCTGATCTGCCAGAGGGGAGAAAGGCACTACAGAGAACCTGAATAGATTGGATTGATGGGCCAATGTAAACTGGATGAGTTTCAACAGGGCCAAGTGTCGGGTCCTGCATTTTGGTCACAACAACCCCAGGCAGCCCTACAGGCTTGGGTGAAAGCTGCCTGATGGAAAGGGACCTTGATGTACTGATGGACAGTCGGCTGAATATGAGCCAGCAGTGTGCCCAGGTGGACAAGAAGGCCAATGGCATCCTGGCTTGGATCAGGAACGATGTGGTAAACAGGACTAGGGAAGTCATCCTGCCCTGTACTCAGCACTGGTGAGGCCTCACCTCAAGTACTGTGTTCAGTTTTGGGCACCTCAGTACAAATAAGACATGGAGGTGCTGGAGCAGGTCCAAAGAAGAGCAACAAGGCTGGGGAAGGGCTTGGAGAATATGGCCTATGTGGAGAGATTGAAGGAACTGGAGCTGGTTTAGTCTGGGGAGGCTGAGGAGAGACATTATTGCTCTCTTCAAATACCTGAAAGGTGATTGCAGCGAGAGTGGGATTGGTCTCTTCTCACTGGAGACAGAACAAGAGGAAATGGCCTCAAGTGCCAGGGGAGGTTTCGCTTGGATATCAGGAAGAACTTCTTTACAGAAAGGATTGTTAAGCACTAGAATAGGCTCCCCAGGGAGGTGGTTTTAAAACCATTTGGATGCGGTGCTCAGGGACATGATTTAGTGGTGGGATGTTAGGGTAGTATGGTTAGGCTGAGGTTGGACTTGATGATCTTGAAAGTCTTTTCCAACCTCAGTAATTTTATGATTCTATACAGAGTTGCAATCAGATATTCAACTCAAAAATTTGACTATGTCTCTGTATCTCTAAGACCTGTCTTAGCAGAGAAAAACATCCTTTGCTTCACAATCACACCTTATTAATGCCATCACTTTTTGATAGCATATACATTTATGAACAACTATTCTCAAGGAGAAAGCACAGGAAGAGTGAGTGCTCCGATGAGCATCGTGGGAACTCACTAAGAATGGTAACCACTTCCACTGTACTACACATAGATGCATTAGCTTTGCAAAAACTATCCCAATAGTTTTACGTTTTTGCAGCCCTCTTTTCTTTTTAAATAATAAATATATTAAAAGAACTACATTCAATCACTAATGTATGTTTTATATGCAGCCCAAGACATAGAAACACAAGGTTGGAAAGGACCTACAAGATCATCTAGTCCAACCATCCCCCCTTCACCATTGTTACTATAAGCACTAAACCATATACCATAGGTCCTCATCCAGATGCCTCTTGAACACGGCAGAGACGGCAACTCCACCACCTCCCTGGGCAGCCATTCCAGTGCCTGGCCACTCTCTGAGACAAAAAGTTCTACCTTATCTAATCTAAACCTCCTCTGGTATAACTTGCAGCCATTTCCTCGGGTCCTGTTTGTTGCCTGGGAGAAGAGGCCAAAACCCTCCTCATCACAGCCTCTCTTCAGGAAGTTGTACAGTGCAATACGGTCTCTTCTGAGCCTCCTCTTCTCCAAACTAAACAATCAGTTCCCTCAACCACTCCTCATAAGACCTGTGTTCCAGACTTCTCACCAGATTTGTTGTCCTTCTCTGGACACGTTCCAGGGCCTCAATGCCTTTCTTGCAGTGAGGGGCCCAACACTGAACACAATACTTGAGGTGTGGCCTCACCATTGCTGAGTACAGGGGGATGATCACTCCCTGCTCCTGCTGGCCACACTATTTCTAATACAGGCCAGGATGTCATTGGCCCATGTTCAGCCAAGCATCAACCAACACCTCCAGGTCCATTTCCTCTTCACAGTCATCCATCCAGTCATCCCCAAGCCTGTAGCACTGCATGGGATTATTGTGGCCAAAGTGCAGGACCCAGCACTTGGCCTTCTTGATCCTCATCCCATTCACCCCAGCCCAATGATCCAGCTTATTTAGATCCCTCTGAAGATCCTCCCTACCCTCAGGCAAATCAATACTACCTCCCTTGGTGTCACCTGCGAATTTACTGAGGATACACTCAATGTCCTCATCTATCAAGATATTAAACAAGATGAGCCCCAGTACCTACTCCTAGGGGACACCACTTGTAATGGGTCGCCAGCTGGACTTAACTCCATTAACCACTACCTGCTGGGCATGGCCCTATAGCCAGTTCCTTACCCAAAGAAGTGTGTACCTGTCCAGGCCAAGGGCAGCCAGTTTCCCGAGAAGAATACTGTGAGAGACCGTGTCAAAGGCTTTGCTGAAGTCTAGGTAGACTACATCAACAGCCTTTCCCTCGTCTACCAGGCTGGTCACCTAGTCATAGAAGAAGATGAGGGTTATCAAGCACGACCTGCCTTTCACGAACCCGTGCTAGCTGGGCCTGATTCCCTGGATGCCACGCACATGCTTTGTGATCTTACCCAAGATTATTTGTTCCATAACCTTCCCTGGTATCGAGGTGAGGCTGACAGGCCTATAGTTCTCCGGATCCTCCTTACAGCCCTTCTTGTAGATGGGAGTCACATCAGCAAGCTTCTGATCCTCTGGGACCTCTCCAGAGGACCAGGAGCACTGGTAGATGACTGAGAGCGGCTCAGCAATCACCCCCGCCAACTCCCTCAGCACCCTACGATGAAGCCCGTCTGGCCCCATGGGCTTGTGACAGTCCAGACAGAGGAGGAGCTCTCTGTCTCCACCTGTATCACTGGGGGTGTATTCTGCGTAGCATCCCAGACTTCCATATCAGGGCATAAAGTGCCCTGACGATAACTGATGTGCTTATTAAAGACAGATGTAAAGAAGGCATTAAGGACCTCAGCCTTCTCCTTATCCTTACTGGTCACATTCCCCACTACATCAAGTAAAGGATGGAAATTCTCCCTGGTTCTTCTCTTACCACTGATATATTTGTAAAAAGATTTCTTACTCTCTTTTACTGCAGTGGCCAATCTGAGTTCAGGTTGGCCTTTTGTCCTCCTAACTTCATCCCTGCACACCTTAGCAACTTCCTTGTAATCTCCCCAAGAAGCCTGTCC